GCAGAAGCAAAATCTTTATATGTAGATGAAATGATCATCTACAGAGAAAATACTAAGAAATCTCTAGGAGCCCCTAGAACTTGTTTTTGAATTTAGCAGGATTAGAAAACACAAGGTATATATTAAAATTCAGGTCTATGTATACTTGCTATAACTGAAGAATTCGATATTGAAATTTGAAAGTTATGTAGGAGTACAAAGGACCTAGAAAAGTAAAAAGAAAAGAAAAAGAAAAAAAAACAGTGTTGGAAGACATGTAGTACCTAATTTTAAGACTTCCTCTAAAACTTCAGTAATCAAGGCAGTGTTGGCCTAAGGAAAGACATGTAGATCATTGGAATAAAACAGAATCTATAAATAGAACCACACAAATATAGTCCACTGAGTTTTGAAAGATTGTTTAACATTAATATTTTATAGAACATAAACTCAAGAGCAGAGGAAAAGATAGTGTTTTCAGCAAATGGTACTAGAACGCCTGTTATCCGTATGTAAAAAATTCACCTCAACCTGCTATTTCCATACATAAAAATAACTTGAAAGGATCTGTGAACCTAAATATGAACGACTAAAACTATAAAACTTTAAGAAGAAATTATAAGGGAAAATGTTCATGAATTTAGGGTAGGCAAGAATTTCCTAGGATACAAAAAACATGATGTATAAAAAAAGAAAATTGATAAATGAAATTCCATCAAAATTTAGAACTTTAAATGACATCATTAAGAAAATGAAAAGTAGTCTTTACACAGACCATATTTATAGTACATATAACCTATGGCCAGAATATATGAAGAACTCTTACAGCTCATTAATAGATAACCCATTTAAAAAGTAGACACAAGAAGATGATAAATAGCCAGTCCAGCACAAGAAAAGGTGTGCAACACTAGAATCAGAAAAATACTAATCAGTACAGTAACAAGATTGAATTATACACTCATTAGGGAGATGAGGTTAAAAGTTTTAAAAGAACAGATGTCAGTTTAGGTGTGAACCAGTTAGAACTTTTGAATACTGCTAATGTGAATTTAAAATGATTAAACCACTTTGGAAAGCAATATAGAAATTACTTGTATTACTGTTAAGAACCAACAGTTCTCTTCTTAAGTTTTTACTTAAGAGGAATGAAAACACATGTTCACAATAGATTTGTACATACAAGTTGACTATCCCTTATCTGAAATTCAGATTTTGGTTTGAAATCCACTTGATCTGCAAAGAGGATAGCTACTCTTGCATTTTTTCAGATTCCTGTCACATGGAGTATTGTTTTCCACCCTTTAACTTTCAGTCTATGAGTTTCTTTTTGAATTAAGTGTTTCTCGAATGCAGTATATTGTTGGATCTTGCGTCTTAACCCATTCTACCAGTCTATTTCTTTTGATTGGTGAATTGATACCATTAACATTAATGGTTATAACTAATATGTACTGACTTATCATTGCCATGACTTTTTCTTTTTGTTGGATTCTCCCTCTTTGCATTTAATTTCTTGTTGCGCCCTGCAGATTCATTCTGCTGGGCTTCCTAGGGTTGTGATCCTCATTGTCTTTTCCTAGGATATTTTCTAAAATTTTTTGGAGTGCTGGTTTGGTATTCATGAAGTTCCTGAGGTGCTCTTTATCATCAAAGTATCTTATTTCTCCATCCATTTTGAAAGATAGTTTTGCAGGGTACATCAGTCTGGGTTGGAGGCTGTTTTCCTTTAGGGCTTGAAATACATCACTCCAAGCTCTTCTTGCCTTGAGGGTTTCCACTGAGAAGTCTGCTGTGATTCTGATGGGCTTTCCTTTGTATGTGATTTGTTTCTTTTCTCTCACTGCTTGTAGAATTTTGTTCTTCTGTTGGATTTCTGGAATCCTAACTATTATATGCCTATGTGTAGATTTTTTTTTGATCAAGGCTAGCTGGAGTCCTATATGCCTCACTTATCTGTATGTCAAGTTCTTTTCCCCTCCTTGGGAAGTTTTCTGCCATCACTTCTGTGAAGAGTTTTTTTATGTCATCTGCACTCTCTCCTCTTTCTTCATTGACTCCAATCAGTCTTATGTTATTCTTCTTTGCATCGTCTAGCAGCTGCTGGATTGATTTCTCGTGGATCCTTATAATTTTAAACCAATTTTTCTTTTCCTGGTCACTGATTGCAATCTTATCTTCTATATCTGACATTCTGTCCTCACATTGGCTCATTTTGCTGTGTAAGCTTTCAATGGAGTTTTTAATCTCCTGGAAATCTGTTTGTATCTGTTTTATGGATTCCATTTGTTTCCTATGTTGGGATTCCATCACGTTCCTCAGCTCCTTTATTTTTTTATCTGTGTCCTCTCTAGATTTATTAATCATGTCTTGCACTATGGGCACAATCTCTGCTGTTATGTGAGAAATTATTTCTGATTTCATTTTTTCTAGATCCTCTTTTGTTGCCAGTTCAGAGAGTCCCAGGTGGTTGAGTATCAGATTGTTCCATCTCGTTTCCCTTTGGGGTTGCTGTAGGTGATCTGGAAGTCTGGTTTTGAGGCTTTTTTATGTGTCTTCTCATTTTGATGGGGGGAGGGGCAGGTTCACCTCCCCTGTGCTGTGAGCAGTACTATGATGGCCCGGGAGCCTCCTCCCCCACAGTCCTTTTCTGAAATTATTTTAATTTTGAGATAGGATCTCACTAAGCCATCAAGTTGCCCACCTAGGCTCAAACTTATGATCTTCCTGCCTAAGTCTCCCAGAGTGCTGGGAGTATAGGTGTGCAGTACCATCCCTGCTTGCCTGTTTATTTTTTTAAGGATGTTCTTTGATAACCAGAAATTTAAACCTTAAAAAAGTAAAATTCACCAATCATTTTCTGTCATGGTTAACATTTTTTAATGTCTTAGGATATCTCTGCTACCCCTGGGTTGTAAAGTCTAGAAATGGCAATGTGTATTCTAGCTGTAGTGTAGAGACATTGTGCTTTTATGTAATGTTAAATTCTGTACCAGTGTAGGTACATTTACATACACCCTTATCTTTTGATATTGTCATATATTTAGAAACATGTCATAAACACTGAAAGTGATGATACTATTTTTTAAATAATCAGTTGTTTAAAAATAGCCTTAACAGGGCTGGGGATTTAGCTCAGTGGTTTTGCCACTTGCTGCGCAAGTGCAAGGACTGAGCTCGATCCCCGGTACTAAAAAAAAAAATCGTAACAAAATCTAGGAACTTAAAAACTAACTCCATCATTCAGAAGAGTTTCAGTTCTTCCATGCCATCACTTCTGGAACAAGCTCAGAGATAAAGAAACGTAACTTATCTATGTTGATCTCCTCATCATTGGCACTGCCTTGCTTTCCATTTATTTGCAGTGTGTGTGCACATAAAAGTCTGGGTGTTGTTTCAAAGAATACTTCTACTCAAGGCCATGAGCAGCAGTGGTCCTGCTGTTGGTGACCAAAGTTTTGATCAAAATAGCAGTTTCCCAGCAAGCGGGTCCCATAGCCTTCTGAGATCAGTCACGTGCCTTGAAAGATAAGCCTTCTCTCAGTGGGGGAGCTCACCTTTGAGCTGCCGGGGCCGGGGCTCTGCAGCTCTGCGTGGCCTGTAGAGCTGCTCTGAGTCTGTTCCAGTGCCGGACCAGAGGTGGTCTCTGGATGCGTGGATGCTGACACAGAGCCTGCCTGCTGCTGTTTCCACAGCTCTTCCTGGATCCCTCGTGGGAACTACATCGAGTCCAACCGCGACGACTGCACAGTATCGCTGATCTATGCCGTGCATCTGAAGAAGTCCGGTTATGTCTTCTTTGAGTACCAGTATGTCGACAACAACATCTTCTTTGAGTTCTTTGTAAGGCTTCTTACGTTCTTGATGTTCTTTTTAAGGGACATTCATGTAAATTTCCCTTAATCCATCATTCCATTCCACTTGATCCTCAATTACTGTTGTGTTAACTGAACCCTTGGTATTGAAATGAGTTAATTTTCTGTAGTGTTTGTCTTCTAGTTGTCCACACTGTCTCTGGTGTTCCACCTGGTGCTATGCCCATTAGACTATCTTTTGCTTTAGAGCACATATGACTGGTACTTTCCCTAAGATTCATTTGTCCTTAATGTTTTATGGATGTAAATGCTATTTGATTAAAAATACTTTTGTCCATTTTAGTTTTTATTTAAAATGTTTCTTTCTTGGCAATTCAAAGAGAAAACATTTTTTTACTGACTAGAATTTTTTAAGTGTATTCACGGGCAATTATTTTAAGAGAAGTGGCTGCATGCTTCTGTTTCTGTGAAGTTCATAAAGTCTAAAGGAATCAGTGGAGAGGTAGTTGATGTTTCTGGAATGATTAAATAGCATTACAGCATAATACAGGATTCAATAGCAGACCTTCAGAATAACCACTGAATGTATCTAATTAGTCTGTGTAAACTCTTAAGTTGAGCAAATATTTACTGCTGCAGTGGCTGCAGGGCTTCACAATGTTTTCAGATTGATTTCTTACACTAAACACTGTGTTGTGCTGACAGATGGGAAATATCTTGAAAAATGTTTCTGTGGCCCAGATTTTAGGAACAAATGTACTAACTTTTCTAAAGCAAATTTATACTCGGTAATGAGAATGTCTAAATCAAAAGTTTAGTGGCGAAAGGTATTTTCTATAAAATATGAGCCTTGGACTTGAAGTTCAGAGATTCTGGGTCTGGCCCCAACTTGTTGGTTGTGTGCTGTTGAGCAATGAAGCTAAACTTCCTGTTCTGGCATTCCCCTGCTGTAAAGTAGCCAGGAGAAGACGTTTTAAGGAGCCTCTTAGCACTAATGTCCTGCGATGAGTTTGAGATATTGAGCAACATGCAGTCATATTTACTTTTTAAGCTACATTTTATTTGCATAACACTTCTCAGAATGAACAATCCTCTAGTCGTTGGGACATTTCAACAGTATTGTTAAAACTAAAGTAGCAAGCCAGCTATTTGATTGTTAGCATAAGTGTTTATTTAGCTTTTGCCCAATAAGTGCCATGAGAGCTGATGTTTCTTTACTTCCTTTCCGGGTGCCTCTGTGCTTCTGTATGTAGTCTGAAAAGGGCTGGCACATTCTGCTCCTTCTTTTGCTGAAATTTCAGCTTTATAGGTTGTAGTTACTGGCTCAGGGCCAGCACTTTGCAGTTGCTGTCCTGGTGGTTAACAGAAGGGAAATATGTGAAGGCTAAGAAATGTAGTTGTGCTCTGAGAATTAAATGTGAGCATTAATTTAGAGCAATATTTAGTCTCAGAACTGTGTGGACTTCTATTCATCCATACTGTTTTTTAAAAAATGGTGAAACTGAAACTTAGATTAAGTGCTTGGACCAAGATTCTACCTGCTTTGTTTCAGAATGGGGAGCAGACCCAGGTCTCCAGAATGCTGGGGTGGGGGCACTGAGACTCAGGCTGTGGAAATGCCCTCTGCTGTCCGCACACCAGAGATGTGCTCAGGGCCATATCGTCCCTCAGCCGGCTCAGCACTGACACTGAGATGGTCATTGTACTTGGAAAATAAGTAGGACCCAAGTTGAGTTGCAGTAAATTTCCTCAGAAGTGGATATTCTCTGGTGTCTGGATGCCAAAGGACCCATTTCCGGTTAGGACGTGTGTAGGAAGTGCCCTCACAGAGCACAGTTCGTGTTTGTAAAGTGGCCAGTGGTGCGGAAGGCAGCAGAAGGGTGTGGGGAGGAGAGGCTGTTCCCTCCGGCAGTGAACTTTACTCTGTCGCTGACACTTGGCACAACTGGAAAGATAACTGCACTTTTTAGTCTTTCTGTTCTTTGAAAAGTAGAAATCTTAGAAAGGTATCATCTTAACCCCTCTCCACTTTGGGAGAGTTGTTGGGAAATTAGAAGGTGGCTGATGCTCAGGATATCTGTACTCATTTGAAATGGCACACCAAATGATTAACGTTGATCCACAAATAAAAAATCGGCACTTTGATTTTGGCCACAGCCACTTACCTGCACATTTGGGTTAAGCCCTCAGGAATTGGTGCAAAGCCCTCTTTATTAACTAAAAATTTTGCTGCCACAAAAATAAAAATTACCCTTGTTTATTTTTACACTATTGGACTTGTGTGGTGAATGGAAGCCGTTAAAACATCCAGGTAAGTTGGGTAGGTTTCTGTGACGACTTTCAGTGATAGCTGTCCTCTCTCCTTACTGGGCTGCCTTTTGACACAACAAGAAGATGGTTTGCTTGGGATCTCTTACACATGTGCAGCGGCCACTTGGGTTGAGGCCTTGGTGTGCAGCTTGTTGAGAATTACTCATGGCCATTGTTTAGGACGCATCGAAAGGCACCCTTGCATGCTGTAAGGCACAGAGTTTAATGAAAGCTCTTGTTTCAGAAGCTTCGCTGAGAGCTGTGTTTGACCCGCAGATTCAGAACGATCAGTGCCAGGAGATGGATTCCACCACTGACAAGTGGGTGAAGCTCACGGACAGCGGGGAGTGGGGCTCTCATTCCGTGAGTCTCCCTTTCTTATGCTTCTCCTTTCTCTTCCTAACATTTTCCAAGCATACATTTTAAGAGAAGAAAAAGGGCAACATTTTCTATTAATCGAGAGATTCTCCACTGAAGGAGGAAGTTTCCCCTAAGTTTCATGAACTCAGATTCTTACTTTTAGATTTTTTTAAATACCTTTTCCTTCCCCTCAGATTCCTTCTCTTTCCTTTCCCTCCACACCCCAGCCTTCCTCCCTCATGGTACTGTAGGGGCATCGACAAGACAGAGGCTGTTCAGACCTGCCACGCAGGTTCACACAGAGTGTGTGCGTTTACAGATGTGCCTGTCACAGGGATGGGCGGGGCCTCTTGTCACTGGGAAGACTTTTTAGTTCTTTCCATATGACTTTTTCTGCAGTGTCCAAAGAGTGATTTTCAAGCTTGTTTTGTCGAGTCCTGGTCTCCACTGTCGGACGGCTCAGTTCTCACAGAATTCACCCGTTTAGACCCTGACCTGCTCTCCATGTGTTTGCCACCCATTGGTCAAAACCCTGCCTCTCTGGTCACATCAAGCCCAGCAGCCCTGCTTCTTCATAGGGCAGCTCTTCGGGCTCGAAGCCAGGATTGTCAGATAATGGGGTCCCGCGAACCTGTTGTCATCTGTGGCACTGTTCCTTTGGAGGAAGATGCAGATTTAAAACCCAGCTCTGCCACACAGTTGTGATTCTCTAGTGATTTGCTTGGTCTTTCTGCACTGATGTTTGCGTCCGTGGGAATGTGTTTCTCTCGCTGGGTTACGTGGGAAGTGTTTGGGAAGGCCTGGTGTGGTGCCCGCAGCGTGGCCTAGTTCCGACCCGGTGAATGTACTCTCCTCGGCTCTGCTGGAGCAGGCCTTGCACGGAGGGAGAATGCAGTGCACGCTTTCGGAGGTCTTGTTTCGTCTGTGTGCTTGAGGCTGATATCAGCACCATTTGAGGTCCCTCACCCAGGCCCTGGCTAGGTGTCTGCAAGCGTGAGGAGCCGCTGCCCACAAACCATCCCACTTGAGGACTCTGCCAGGGGCAGTGCTGAGGGCACCGCTTCTGTGGGTCTCTGGCAGGGGCAGTTGCCAGGCAGGTTTTAACTTTCGACAGCTTGAGTTTGATCAGGCAGAGCCTGCAGAGCAGGTGGCAGCGGAGTTCTTGAGTTGGTCCCCTTGCCACATCAGCGTACGTTGGTTGGATTGTGAGTAGCAGAGGGCTCCTCCGGCAGAGGGCGCAGTGCTGGGCATGCTGCTGGAGCCTGAGGTTGCATGGCTGTAGGAGCAGCGCTGTGTTCTCTGTGGCTGTCAAGTGACTTTTAGGAAAAGCCCTATTAGCGACAGCACGCGAGTCCGGGCATTTCACACTGGAAGGTTCTGTGTGGCTCGCGGTCTGGAAGTGCAGGGCCTGGTGAGGCTGGTGGAGGGCCGTCGCCTGGGGGAGCATGAGAGTGACCACTGTGACACGAGGCCTGCAGGAGATCACTGTCTCCACAGACCCAGTAGCCTTCCTCAGCGGGCCGGATTCCCGCCAGCCCTGCCTCCGGAGAGCCCGGCCAGCCTATTTAGGGCCACAGGCCAAGCTTCCGGGGCGTGAACTGCAGGGGGGCCCCTCTGGCCCGTCCAGGCCACAGCAGGGACATTGCGGTCTGTGGACACAGGGCAGCGGAGTGCGGCAGCCTTCACACGAGGCCCTTCAGTACAGAGCGGGCTCCTGCAAGTGTTTTGCGTCCTTCTGTCTGTCTGCCCAGCCTCGAAGGCTCCCTCCTCCTTTCTTACGCCCTCGTGTGGATTGCCAGACTATTCTTTATGGAAATGTTGCACTCAGCAGAGCTTAGGTTAGGGTTGACAGGAGACTTAAATGTCGTGGTTCTAAATCCATAATTTTTAATTATAATGTGCAGGAAAACGCATGAGAATAGCTTCTGGGAGTGGCTGGAAACGGCAAGGCCTCCTCAGGGGGTTCTTGTCTGTCTTTCCCCAGGTGATGCTGAAGCCGGGCACAAACATCCTCTACTGGAGGACCACGGGTATCCTCATGGGCACCAAGGCCATCAAGCCCGTGCTGGTGAAGAACATCACGATCGAAGGTCAGCAGTGCAGTCACAGTCCTGTCCAGCTCTATGTGGGGAGGTATTTATGAGCGTGTGGCTTGCCTGGGTTGTGGGTTATGGACCAGAAGCAGTATACGAGGGAGCCTACAGGTCCAGAGACCTGGCTTCATTTCCGGCAGGTTCATTGTTTGTTTCCTTTTCCTTATCCCCGTGAACTGAGTTATTTAATCTGTGTAAAGAAGTGAGCGCAGTGATAGCTTTAGATGTCTAAAGTGAAGGTTTCTGTGTTAGGTGGGGCCTGTTTTACATTCATGAAGTGTGCGTGGTGCCAGGCGTCAGCAGTACGTTAAGTGTTTGCTGGGCCTGTGGTGTTTAATTTGGTGCATATCGTAGCAGGCGCTCTTACTGCTGCATTAACGGGCGAAGGCTTTATCCCGTGAACATCTCTCTCGCCTCTGCCTACAAGTGAGTTGCTTGCTGACATGGGGTTCTCCCTCGCACGCCCTCTTTCCATGTGCACACAGGGGTGGCGTACACCTCCAAGTGCTTCCCCTGCAAGCCTGGCACATTCAGCAACAAGCCAGGCTCCTTCTCCTGCCAGCCGTGTCCCAGGAACACCTACTCGGAGAAGGGCGCCACGGAGTGCGTGAGGTGCGACCAGGACTCCCAGTTTTCAGGTAGGTGGTGCAGTGGCGCCTTGTGCAGGGTTTGAGTGCTCGTGCGCCAGGAGAAGTGTGGGCGCGGGGCGGGGCGGTCACTGAGGTGCTGGGGACTGTGAGCCTGGCTTGTCCCTTCCTGGCGGCCCCCACCATGAACACGCTCCACTTTCGGACACTTTGTTGCCGTGGAGGTGTACTGAGAGTTTTAATTTCTTCCCAATTTCCAGTGTTTGCTGGTCAAGGAAGAAAGGTCATGTTTTCTGGGAAAAACTGATACACTCATGGAAACACTGTTGAGGGAGAATAGAAATGCAGGCCTTTGGTCGGTTATTTTTACTTTGCCGCTTGCCTTCTGATTTGATTTTGGCCCTTTGCTGGAGCCGCAGAGGCAGTGGCCTGTTTCTGAGATGCTGTTCTGCGTTGCAGAGGAAGGAGCCAGCGCGTGTGTGGAGCGCCCTGCCTGCACCACGAAGGACTATTTCCAGATCCACACGCCCTGCAACGAGGAAGGCAAGGTATCCGCGACGCTCGACCCCTCCGTCTATGCACGCCTGCCCAGTCTTCACGGTGTGCGCGGGAGAGCTTGTAAGGGGCAGGGGCTGAAGCTGCACCAGGTCCGACTTCCGGATCTGCTGCTGATTTGCACTGTTGGCAGATTGTTTGACATCTGTAAGCCTTGGCTTTGTCATCTGCGCAGTGGGTTGATAATCAGCTCAGCGAGGCTGCTGTGAGAATGTGCGGGATGCTGGGCGTGCGGTACCCAGCCCTCTGCCGGCAGGAGGGGCGCTCCAATAAGTGACTGCCGTGCTCAGTTATTTTTTCAGAAGCAGTAATCTCAGGAAGAGCACTGCTTTAGGTTTTGTACTGAGCTGAGGATGGAAATCTCTTTCTGCTTTGCTTCATTATTTGGTTACTGAGTTTCTAGCCATGAAAGTTGTGCAGCCTGGGCTAGTTATCACAGAGTACTGCATAACTGCATCAGAACATGTGAAGCGATTACCATGCAAATGACATCCAGCCAGCGGAAGGATGTATGCATGAGCCCCGGGGCTGACTCACCATTCTCTAACTAAAGAGTTTGCCCGCGCTGGCCTGTGTCACCGCAGAAAACCCGAAGTTAAAGTGGCTGTTACACTGCATTCCTTATATATACTTGCATCATTAAATAATGACATTTTTAACTTAGTTTGGAAATTCCAAACAGATATTAGTAAAATTAGGACTTAATTCTGCATCCCTGGGTTCTAATCTTTATTTTGATTTTATACAGTTATCAGTCATATGAAGGAATATTGTTTTGAATGCTTAAGATCAGGTGCATTGTAGTTTAAAGTAGTGAGCAATTTTAGTAAGTACAACTGTTATTTTAATAAGAAAAGTAACTCAAACTAACAGCTGTTAGCTGAAAAGGAGTTGTAAAATAAGGTCTCAGCCCAACAATAATGACCAAGTAAGGGCGCTTCTACTTAGAAAATATATGTGGGGAGGTATCACTAAATTGGGTTAAAAGTAATTTGATATTTTGTAGCTGGATATTTTTCAGCTAAACTCATCTTATTAATAGGTAAGGAAAAACTAAATTTAGTTTATTCTATGTGATAATCATTAATTCAGCATTCCTGAGGCTTAAATGAATGAGATCCAGTATACAAAGGCATCTTATCTGAACAACATGAAAATAGACCAAGGCTGTCTTACATCGTGCCAGGCCCATAGGTGCACACAAGTTTGTGTGCAATCCGGTACTCGAGGTTCCAACACGGACTCACCATGGTTGGAGAAATTGGGCAGCACGTTTCCCTTCCTCCCGGCCTTCCTTTTTTTTCTCTTTCTGTTTTTTGCTTCAGTGTCCCGAGGGCTGGGATTACAGGTCTGTGCCACCATGCCCCACGGGCAAGTGCTTTCCAAAACAGTACGTGACTTGAGACTAGAAGAATGTTTGGTAAAACTTCTCATGATCTCCCCCGAATACGAGGACAGCGACTGGTGGGCTGAAGGGTGGGGTTAAGGGGGTGCGTGGCAAACAAAGTGTAACGTGTGTGATTAAGCACGTGGATGTCCGCTAGGAGTGTGGCACCTGGGATTTGCCGTAGGAGTATAAACATAACAAATTATGCATGTCCAGCACATATAAAGAAGAACATGAACTAAGTGACTTATTTTCAAAGTCCTTGGCTTCATGAAGACATCAGGAAGGTATCAAACTGTGGGCTCCTCGAGCTGGGAAAGAGGATGTAGTGAAGATTCACAGGGCTGTTCCAAGAAGCAGAAATTAGTAAAACCAAGATCAGTTTGTGTGAAAGTCTCAGAGAAGCATTTGGGAAAGAGAAAATATTCACTTGGAAAAAAGATTCCAAAGGGACCCAAGCTTTAGAAGATTCGTCTCACCAAACAGAAAAAAGCAGCAGCTGTTCAAAGGAACGAGGCTGCCCTAGGATGCAGAGGGGCTTAGGGTGCACCTGAGCTGCTCTGGGTGGAAACAGCAAGTCCTAGAGCTGGCCCCGGACCCACTGGCCAGGAGTCAAGGGGATGTGGTTGTTTTTGTCGGGTAGTTGGCGACTCACAGAAAGACTCGAGATTTTTATTTATGTGAATACTAGACCCAGGCAGAGGAGCTGTTGTGGGGTGCACATGTTGTGTACCAGTGCACACATGTGTGTGTTTATTCCAGGTGGGAAGTGGTGGGTGTCCCTCACCTTGTGAGCCACATGTACCCTTTTAATGGTGGCAGAGCACGGTGACAGCTTTGCTTCCACACTTGAGGTAATTATGGAATCCTGTGCTAAGTAAACCTAAGATTAGTTTTCAGAAGTCAGACAAGAACTCTGACTCAACTCAGCGGAGCAGGGCAGAGGGGCCCACAGCTGGGAAGCCCTAGTGAGCAAGCTGTGGTCGGAAGTCTCTCTCATTCCTTCTGTCTGCCGTTCTTTGGTCTCTTTTGCTTCCCAGGCTCCGTTCCTGAGGCATCAGCACCCAAGACCCCATCGTCCTAGGCTTTGGTCCCAAGCTCTGACCAAAGTTTCAGGGTGGCACTTGGGAAAGATGGGCCTGGGTGGAGAGGGGCAAGCCGCAGGGGTGACAGAGGGCCCCGCTCTGAGGAACCAGGCCAGTCCAGGAAGCCTCAGTGTACTGGTGTGGCGACGTGTGCAGGAGGAGCCCAGGCCGCCGTGGACAAATCCAGCCTCAGCTCTCTGACTTTAGTTCTACTCGTTGCGAATTGTATCTGGTATGAAAATCGGCTTCCACTTGTTTCCAGCGTGTCTTCCCCATTAGTGGCGGTTGGACCCAGCACTGGCTCTCGCCAGGCAAGCACTCTGCCCCTGAGCTACATGTGGCCCCGCTGGGTGTGCTTTTTAAATTGAGTTGTTTTCATGCTTAACATAAAAACCCTTTTGTAAATAGCATAAATAGCTCATTGTAATCTTAATGGAAGTGTAGTAAATTTGATTGCTAGAGTTTTGGTTTCATAAAAACATTTCATAACTGAGTCTCAGGTTGGCCAGAGTGAGCTGATTGTTGGCGTTTCACCTGTGCTGCCAGCCATCTGGTGCGAAGTTTCATAAATATTGATTATTGTGTCTCCCAGGCAGCTACAGGAAAGCATCTGTCCCCACGAGAAAGACGCAGAACCAGTCTGCTACTTGAGGCAAGAGGCTTTGTGTAAACACAACTTTCACTGCAGAGTGTTTGAAATTTGACTTCCACATGGTTCAGTGTTTGAAGGTGTTTGCTGCATATTTCCTAGTCCCAGCGTGTTTATTTGTATTGGAAGTCATGTGGTTAGATGGCTTCCCAAAGTGCATTTGTGTATTTTACTGTTTTTATCCTCTCCAAACTGAGTCTCCTCCCCTGGTACTGCCTCATTGCGTAGCAGCTGTGCCTGACTTTTGGGCAAGTGGGGCTCAGCCCTGCCATGGGTGTTTATGAAGGGTGAGGATCGGCACACACAGCTCCGGGCATCACTGCTCACACTAAGAGCCAGAGAAGGGCAGCATGACCTAAGCCACAGCAGCAGCGTGGGCAAGGGAGTTACAGCAAGAATGCTATTTACAATTCTGTTGAGACTTCTACCAGTGAGGCATTTTCTTAAGCATCCTTCCTCACGTAAGGTAATGTACTCTTCATAGTACTTGAGGTAAAACTGAGTGGGCTTACGATACAGGATTCTCCACTAACTGGAACCACAATGCCGAATGGCCTTCAATTTGACTCTCTGCTTCCGCAGTGGACTCCTGTTGCTGGGGTTGCCTTAAAGGCGAATACTTTCAACGGGTTACATGTCTAATGAAAGGAACATTTAGTCTCTTTTTAAAAAGTTATGTTTTGTTATGAAAGTTTGCTTTTTGGTTTGCACTAGAGTACTTTTTTCTACACAGAACATAGCAGTTTCGTTTTAGAACCCTTTCCATCTTTCCGATTCCAAGTGAGAATGTCTGGTGGCGACACTTTCGGGGCTTGGCTGTGTCTCTGCTGTATGCTTTTGTTGCGTGTGGGGTGCACGTGTTGTGGGAAAGCATGAAGGGCGAGGGTGAAGGCATGGCCTGCAGGCAGCGGCGTCTGCTTTCCTGAGTCCAGAGCAGGGCCTCAGAGCCGCAGAGCCTGACAGTGGGTCTGGAGAAAGCCGCAGAGAGCGTCACAGTGCTGCTGAGCCAGGAGGATGGAAACGTGCAGGTGGATCTCTCCGGGTCGCAAGGCGTGGCCATGTGTGCTGGGTGGAGGGCGGAGTCTCAGCGGAAAACCACGAATCCCTGCGTGGAGGCTGCCGGCAGGAGGCAGGAGGGCGGGCGCTGAGCCTGCCCTCCGGCTGGAGAGGGCTGTCCTGCGGGCGGAGCCTGGCATCCCCGCCGTCAGGGAAGCGCTAGCTACCGTCACTCCCGAGGCTCTTTGTCCTTGCTCTTTTAGGATCTCTGCACCGACTCTTCTTCTGCCACTGCACACACTTTTCCTACGCGGTCAGCTTTACATCCTTGCCATGAGCGTGTTATGTGACTTGCCTGCTTGATTTTTTTTTTCCAGACACAGATAATGTACAAGTGGATAGAGCCCAAAATCTGCAAGGAGGACCTCACAAATGCCATTCGACTGCCCCCTTCTGGAGAGAAGAAGGATTGTCCTCCCTGCAACCCGGGGTTCTATAACAACGGGTCGTCTTCCTGTCACCCCTGCCCCCCGGGGACGTATTCAGATGGCACACAGGGTAGGTAATGTCTCACCTGGCCCATGAGTTAGACCACAGCAGGACAGTCTGCCTGGGCTGCTGTGACTTGTTCTGAACTGTTCTTATGGAGGAATTCTTTAAGAGACAACTTTCTTACCAGGACAGAAGAAGAGTGACAAATAAGAGAATGGAATTTTGAGACCACGTGGCCTATTTACGGTGTGAGGACAGCTGTTTCAAGGTCATTCTGTATAACGCTCTTTTAATGGGTGAAATTTGCCTTTGGATATTGATAAGGCAATTTAAAATTTTACCTGTATGTGTTTAAGGCTAAGCTGTCTTTTGCCAGCATGTTGAGTGTGTGCATATCTATTGCAAAGCAATAAGCAAAAAATGCCACACACACACACACACACACGCACACACACGCTCTGTCCAGAAGTTCCTTCAAGACTGCTTTTGAGAAAGTTCCTGATTTCCAAGGGAATCGGTGCCCCGCCCCCGGCTCCCATGTGGGGCGGAGGAGGGTCCCCATGCGTCCGGTGAGTGTGGTGCCTGTCTCGTGCAGAGTGCAGACCCTGTCCCGCAGGAACGGAGCCAGCCCTGGGGTTTGAGTACAAATGGTGGAACCTCCTTCCCGGCAACATGAAGACCTCCTGCTTCAACGTGGGCAACTCCAAGTGTGACGGCATGAACGGTGAGTGCGCTGCCGGCCTGTCCGGGGTTTGGCCCCAGAGATATTGCTCATTCCTCTTTAAAACGCCGAACATGGGTTGGGAAGCGTCCATCTCGCATGGCTGTGTGTGGCTTTCTGGCCCTTGTGGAAACACAGCACCAAGTGGACCTTCCTGAGGAATGGAACCACCGAGGGCTCCCCCATCTGTGGTTTTGCTTCCTGCAGTTTCAGTTACCCATAGTCAACAGGGGTCTGAAAATAGCAAATCCTAGGAGTAAAAAGTTCATACTGTACATTGTGCGCCATTCTGAGGAGCGGTGAAGCCTCGTGCTGTCCTGCTTGTGTTGCCCGGTGTGTGCTGCCTGTCTGCCCTCAGCCCCCTGGGTATCGGACTCCCTGCCCGGCATCCCGGTTCGGGTGCCGCAGTGACTCCCACCGTGCTTTGTAATGAGCTCAGAGGGCAAGAGCAGTGATGCTGGCAGTTGGGTTTGCCAAAGCATGTGCCTCATTTGAGTGAAAAGGCAGATGTTCTCAGCTTATGAAGGAAGAAAGGAAATTGCATCCGAGTGTGCTGAGATCTACGGTAAGAACGCCTCTTCTAGCTGTGAATCTGTGAAGACGGGAAAACAGACTCATGCTGGTTGCCGCCACACCCAGGCTGTGGAAGCTTCGAGGGAGGCCGGCGTGGGGAAGGTGTCTACACAGCCTCGGGGCTGATGTCATCTGTAGCCTCACTGTCCCCTGGCTGTCTTAGAGCACATTCCGTGGGACAGGGCCGGGTGCTGTACTAGTTTTACAGCTTTTTAGAGTTGGTTTTGGAGCAGATATTGAGGACCACCAGTTATGGTTATAAATACAAAAATAGACCAAGGGAGGTAGCAAAATCTATGTTACGTACCATTGTAAAGAGGAGTCTCATTTTAGCATGGCTCGGTGCAGGGCCTTGTGAGGGGTACACGATCTCAAATTCCCCGTCTGTGAAATCTGTAGTGTCTAAAAAATACGTACGAACCTCACTTACTGAAAGTGTCAACATGTGGCAGAGTTCTGTAGGACACTGATGAATTTTATTCTGCAATGTTTATTGGCTAAATGATTGACAATATCTATGCTTCTATTTTTAAACTCGACATGAGACATAGATATTATAAATGCCAGGGCTTACACTGAAGGGCATCCTTCAATTTTATCAGTTTGTTAGTATTTTTATCAGCTCGCTTTTCTTTGCATTATATTTGATTATTGTGTACACACACACACACACACACACACACACACACACACACACCTCTTAATTATGTAAGTTTTAAGTCAGTACCTATTCCAAACAAACAAATTAAGGCTTCAGGAAGTGAGACATTCTCATGAGTGCTGAGACTGATGAATAGTAGATCTTTGAAATGTTGCTTAAACAAATGAGCAAGAAGGGAAAGACGAAGATTTGCTCTATATCCGATGTGAAATATTCCCCTTATTGACGAATAATACCACTTTGGGAGTTCTTGTGCAGGGCACGGAGGGAGCAGTGCAGCAGTGACCACCTGAGTGTTTAGGCTCCTCACGTGTGTCCTGTGATTGGATTCTAAGTGCAGGCAGGCAAGGTCCGTGAGGCAAAGCAATCCTGGGAGGGCCAAAGCCCTGGACCGCTGCTGGGCCTCCTGCAGGACTCTCACTCGGGGTTTGCTGTCTCACAGGCTCGACAGCACTTCTTTCCCATTGCTGAGTCGCTCACTTCCAGGCCCTTCTAAATTCCTGCTAGTGTTCAGAAATGTTTGTTATGACTGAGCTGTAAGAAGCTGTGCACAGGAGTGAGCTGTGGTGGAGCAGCACACAGTGCACGAGCAAAACAGGCGCAAGCCAGGGCCTGGTTTGGAGCTGACAGGACAGCCGCCACCTCGTGAGGAGACACTGTGGGGCCAGGGGTTCTGTTTCGAGAATTTTTAATGTTACTGTTGTCAAACCTGGTAACTCTCCTTGTGGGGATTGTGAACGTTATCCTATTGCTGGAAAATTAGCTTATTTCAATTTTTATTATAGATAATGCCTAACGAACTGACAACTTGTCTCTTTTTCCCTAAACGTAAATCCCACATCTCCCATCTTTGTATACCACTTTAAGGTTTTTGGTTTTGATTAATATTTGTATTTATTATAGAAAAGATTAAAGCTACAGAAAAATTTAAAAGATGAGATGTAAAATTATTTACTTCTCACCACCTAGAAAATCCCAGTGTTACCACTCTGAGGTGTTTCTTTTACTGTCTTCAGCGTCACCACCACTTTGAATCTCTGGCCAGGCACTGCAGTGTCAGGGCCTCCACATGCCGTGCAGGGCCCATGCGTGTGAACATGTCTGCGGTGGTGCTAACTCACACAGCGGACACAGCTCACACACGGGGCTGTCTGCACTCAGCCCAGGGCCGTGAAGCGGGCCACGGAAGGTGCAGAGGAGGGTGCTGGCCAGTGAGGAGAGAGAACTAACCTAGGGCTTCGTCTTTTAAATTCTCCTGTAGCTTTAAAATGCTTTTTACAATACCAACACGATTGAAAATTCAAAGTCTGGAAACATAAAGTGGTATACAAAGATGGGAGATGTGGGATGAACTTATAGGGAAAAAGAAGACTACAAACTGGCACAAACCCTTGGAAAATCATGAATAACCAAAGGCTAGAAGGGAATAGGTCTGTGTATATTACACCTATGATGCATATTTTATCTGCTGTGTAGTAATAGTTGTTAGCATGTTGAAACGTAAACACCTTTGTGCTTTGAAATCAGCATTTCTGCCGACATGCTCGCTGTGGTTGCCCTAGAGATGGGGAAGCTGTGGCCTTTCAGGTGTCTGGGGCTTTAATCTGCCTGCCTCCTGATCTCTGCTGTCCCCTCTCGGTGCCCTGCGACACTGACCACCAGCTATGCGGGCTGTGCGAGGGTGAAATGCACACTGGTCATTCAGAGGCTTGGTGTGAAAGGTGTAAAACATTTACTAATTCTTTATACCGGCTACACGTCAGAATGATGCCACTTTGGGTATATTGGGTTGGGTAAAATACAGAGAAACTAATTTTCACTCTCCCTGCTTTCCTACTGTGGCCACTGGGATGGTGAGCTTGCTTCTGTGGCTGCCCATCTGTCGGGCAGCAAGGGTCGGGGACATGTGCAGGCTTGGCTTCCCTCATGGCCTCTGTGTGCCTGCTCTCCCTGCGCAGAGGGCCGTCCTGTGCATGCCGTCACTCAGTGCGGCCCCTCATTGGCAGTGTGGAGCCCAGGGTCCTTCCTGTGCCCCTTGTCGTCTCCTTGGGCTGGCCACAGGGTGCTGCAGCCTGGAATGAAGCAGCGGAGTTCATTCTCACAGTCTGCTGGGGCCGAGCTCGGAGCCCTGTGGATCCTCGCTCAGCATCCATGTGTCCCTGGGCTCCAGCATTGTTCCTCACCTTTCCCCTCCTTCCAAGACACAGCCACCCGAGCTGTCTTGACTGGATGGCGCCTGCCCAGTTTCCGTCTACAAATCGGGTTCACAGGTGTGGGGTTAGGACTTCGGGGCCCTCGTGGGGGACGTGTTCAACCCATGACAGCAGTGTTTGTTGGAGTGAGTCCTTGCCCATGGCTGCCCAAAGCAGCCACAGGAGAGCTCCCACAGGAGTAACCTGAGCTGCCCTGCATGGGGCCGGCTGGGGGAGTCCAGGGGCTGCCTGCAGAGGGGCCGCACTCTGGCGGCTCAGACAGCACCCCGGGTTGGTGGAGGGTGTGTGGGGTGTGAGGGACTTGGCTTGGGCCAGGGCCTGGGCAGCAACGCAGACACCTTTCGGGAGGGGAAAGGATGCAGCTCGCGAGGTCCTAGCGGTTGGTCGGTCGGAGCATTTTGATTCTCTCCAGACAGAGGAGGGAGGGCCCGGGAGGGTGGCATCTAGAAGTCAGCTCCCTGTGCAGTTTACGACTGCACTGCAAACTGGAGTTAATGTGGAGTGCATCTAACTTTAAACATAAACACTAGTTCTGCATAGTGTTTCCACTTGATTTGAAAGGATTTTTGGAAATCGTGAATGACAGTTTTACTAATAAAACAGTTTTGTCATTTCCAGGTTGGGAGGTGTCTGGAGACCACATCCAGAGTGGAGCTGGGGGTTCTGATAACGACTACCTGATCTTAAACCTGCACATCCCAGGATTTAAGTAAGGAAAACCAGTTCCTATTCTTTTCTGTAAGAGCCGTTCACCTGCTTCCCACGGAAACAGAGGAAGTAGGGCTGGCAGTACAGCATGCATTACTATCACAACCTACTTAGTAACCAGCAGTACAGAGTGGTGTGTTTTAACAGCAGCTGTAGACCCAGTGTCTGGGAACTATCACTGCTAGTTGTTTGTTCCTTAAAGTAAGTGCAGATTTTTAGCATCCAAAGCTATAGTAGCCATAGCTCCTGCTTGTGTAATGAGGAGTCTGTTTTCTCAGTTCTGTCCGTAAAGCGGTATGTCGCACGTTTGTTCATCTTGCATTGCCTCAGTGCTCTGTGTTCAAGTTCCCCAGGAGTTTCCTCCTGCTTTGAGATCCACAGTAGCCTTTGCCTTAGGGAGGGCCATGCAGACTGCATATTGGATCAGGGGGCACAGGCAGGGCTCCATGGGCCAGGCTTGGGCTTGGACTGGAGAGGTGGTAGGGGAGGAGGACAGCATGGCTTCCAGTTTAATAGGAAGTGACGTCGCTGTGTTCCCAGTTGTGTGTAGACCACACCTTAAATCCTGCAATTTATTCTGTCACACAGACCTCCAACGTCTCTGACGGGGGCTACAGGCTCGGAACTGGGGAGGATAACGTTTGTCTTCGAGATGCTCTGCTCTGCCGACTGTGTTCTCTACTTCATGGTGGTGAGTGGGAGCCGCTTCCCGAGGCTGACTCTGGAGTTTGCCTCTCTCTTCCGAGTGTGGATTTAGTTGTGTGTGTTGGGATAAGAATCTCCTCTCTCTTGCTGTGCTTAGGGCTTTCCAAAACATTTTACGGAATGTCTGTAGAAGTCACTAAGAATGGTGCACCGAAGTTGAGAAAGCAAGCGTTGGTTTGTTGTGCGGAGAAGGGAGTGCGGGCACTCGTGGCGGATGGAGGCCAGGCAGTGTCACTGTAAGAGTTCCTCCGTGAGACTGTGCTTCAGCAGCACAGAATGAGATTCTGCTCTAATAACCTCTTCGATTGAAACTGTCGGGGAAATGAGTGACCGAGTGAGAGCAGAAAATAGTGGCAGTGTGGATTGTCGGGAGGACAGGGGGAGGCGAGGTTCGTGCATCTACACACAGGACCTCAGTACGCACGTCAGGGCTTTGCGCAGGTTTCCCTACACTTGATGCAGACGTCCACCCCTTGCTTCAGAAGGATAACAGTTCTCAGCCCCTGAGGCCTCTGGTGGGTCTTAGGAGGATGCTGGCTAAGATTTCAACATTCCAACTAGTAGTGCCTTCATAGACTGGCTTTTTCCCTCCAGTGACCCATTAGTAGCTCATTATAGGCCCATTTATAATCCCTCCACGACATGTAGGATGTGTGAAAATGGAAACATTTTGCTTGTGATTGACAGCAGTGTAAATGAAGGGAGAACATTTTCCCCTGGAAACTGTATTGACTGTGTAGCAGTAGAAAGGGATCCTGGATTATCATTGCTACACCCGTCCACGGTGTCCCATATAACTCTCAGTCCTCCCAATCTGCCCCTGTTTCTTTCATCTCTTGGGTCCAACCCAGTGCCCTTGCTGGAGTTCAGACTCCTATTGCCTCTCCCACTGCTCAGCAGTCCTCTCTTCTCCCCACCTTCACCCATGCTGCCGCCAGAATGATCTCCATGAACGTGGAATCCACCCAGCCTCTCTCGCTGGTGACTTTTTTGTGCCTGCAGCAGCGATTCTCCTGCACAGCAGCACCAGCGTCCTCAGAACCAACTGTGTATTAGACACTCACGTTTCCGGGGCTGTCCTGACTTCCCGGAAGAGGTGGGTGCAGCGGCCTGGCTTTCAGCCTCGTGGGTGACTCTGACGGGTGCTAAGGCCTGGGACCCAGCGGCCCAGGAACAGACGCGATCTCCTTCGCATGCTCTCCTTGCAACTCCCTAAAGGCGGACCCAGCCTCTGAGGGCAAAGCCTGGTCTGCTCTTGGCCCTCTGTCACCCTAGTGCTAGTGCTGACCACTGCACTTCCCAGCCCTGACTCTCTGAGCTGGAACTGCTTTCCATTCTTCCTTCGGGGGACTCCCCCTCATGCTTCATGGGCAGCTCAAACTTCATTTCTTCTGGGAGGCTTTCTCTCAACCCTTTAAACAGAATTGACCGCTTCCTCCCCTGTGCTCACAACCTCTGGGGAAAAAAATCCCATTTTAAGTGTACATGTTTTTTGTCTCACTTGACTGGTCAGTCTCCAGGGTGGGGGCCACGTGTGATTTATCTTGGCAAATCAGTCCCAGAGCATTTTGTCTCATAGGAGAATTTTCTTTGCTGTGTGATTTAGTCTTCTCATTGGAGTTTTGGAGATATCAAATTAAATAACATAAAATGCTTTGGATATCAGGCGTGCTTGACAGATGTAAGGTGGTATTATTTACCAGGGATGTAACAAATTTCATGATAACAAAGAATGATGGTGCAACATATCTATTATGAACTCCCCTTTTGGAAATGACAAGTCTGACAGTTTGGTTATTTGGTAATGAGGGGATTTCTGTAAAGTATGAGAGGTACTTTGTACTATTTTTATCTGGTGTGGACTCAAGATTTACCTCCTCACAGCGCATTTGACCAGAGAACATACGTGACTCCTGTTTGTGCTGTTGGAAGAGAAGGAGTAGGCGTTCCTTGGGCTGCACATCCCCTGCGGACACCACACAGCTGCTGGAAGCCCACTCCAGCTTCTCGGTCACCTGTCAGTGCAGCCGAAGAGACTAATTTAAAATTCAGCCTTAAGCTTGGCTTCAATTGCAATAAATTAGATGTGTATTGCGTTATTGGTTGACTTACTAGATTTGCTTTCTGGCCAATGTTAATGTTACCATTTTGGTTGGAATTCGCAGCTTTGTATGATTATTCACTTACAATTTAGCTAAGGAAATCAGAAATAAGAATTATACAAGTTAAACTGCTTGGAGTCCAAATATAAGCAGGAGAGTATGTCATGAACATAATATTCCATTTCTGTCTAGCCTGCCCTTGGCTAAGCCTGTAGATGCCAAGTATGATTCAGGGGAGCTCAGGGTTTCTGTGTGGGAGCTGCCTGGCAGGCTCTGAAGGAAGAAGATGAAAATGGGGAGCATTTCCACTTGATGAGGCTGCGGGCAGCACTCTTCAACGAGCCAGGCGGCTGGTGTCTTCTGAGCGTACATTCCAAGCTAGAGGCACATGTGGCCACAGCACACAAGCAGACAAAAGGCAGCCCTCAGACGTGCTCTGCTTGGGCCGCTCTTCCAGATATCCTGACTGTGGCTGGCCGGCGGCAGCACTGAGGAGCTGAGGTACTTGTGTAGGGAGCAGGGTGCCCTGTACTGCGGGCTAACGTCGGCACCTCAGCCTGTCCTCCCACACAGACACATACTTGGCATGTGAGCACATGCATGTTAGTGCTGAGTTTGTGCTTCACTCATGTATATCTTCTCACTGTTTCAGGATATTAACAGAAAAAGTACCAATGTGGTGGAGTCATGGGGTGGAACCAAAGAAAAGCAAGCGTACACCCACCTCATCTTCAAGAATGCCACGTTCACATTCACCTGGGCCTTCCAGAGGACCAACCAAGGCCAGGATGTAAGTGCCCAGCACAGTGGTGATGCCCTTGGGACAGGTGTGCAGAGCAGTGAGACTGCAGGAAGAGGCCTTCACCTGGCCGTGTGGGGAATTGTGGTGAACATGGTGTATTTTGTAGTTTTTGAAGTAATATATGAAATGGAATGGTACAGTATATCTTTGAATTATTCTAAACTCTGAGCAAAAATAGTTACTTGAAGCTTAAGAGAAAATCTAATTTAGTAGTTGCTTAAAATTTTGCTTTCAAGCTTTCTGAGACTTTAGGAAATTTGGAAGTTCTCTTCCTCTTTGTCTGAATGATCTGACTTTTTAGGAGCCATTGTGTGGTACCATTTTACTTTTCCACTATGGTAACATCTCCTTTTAGAGACCATGTATGTGGACACAGTGGTCCTCTCCTAAGCTATTTCTGCCAGATGTCGCAGTGGTAGCGGGACTGCTACTCCTGTGGTCTCCATAGAGGTGACCTCCCAAGATGCGAGCAGGGCAGAGCCTGTGTGCAGAAGTGGCTTTAATGCCGCGGGGGCCAATGCAGTGTCTTTTCAGTGCTCTCCAGGCTTGTGGTGGGACCCGTTCCCTGGCGCTTATCTGACTCCAGTTCTTCAGGAGGGTTTGCCTGCCCACAAGGTGGGCCCGGGCACAGGATGGGCGCTCCCTCCTTGCCTGCCTTTTATTTTTGCCCAGATAGAAAGCATTTAGTGGTCTGGGATTAACTGCTTAGACAGAGCTGCCTGCTGCTGCTGGAAACCAGGACTTAACTGGCTCTGTCCCAAGAAGGGGAATGTAGCAAGAGCAGGGTCTTGCTTCCCACCCCACAGCGTTTGGCCGGAGTCAGAAGACGCTGAGCAGGGGGAGGGCTGGAGAGGAGCCAGCTCAAGCCGTGGTGTGATCGTGGCAGTAGCACACGGGTGGTGTGGGAGTGGGCCCAGGCCTAACCCCAGGGTGCCAGGCTGCTGCCTGGGCCTCTCTGCCAACACCCCAAGGCAGCATTAGGGCCAGGCTTGAGCCTGGGTGACCGCGGTGGGACCAAGTGGTTCCCCTGCCAAGGACCAGCGTTCTTCCGGGGTAACTGTGCGCTCATATCCTGTGTCATGCAGCTCATGGCGTCTCCGGCACAACTCCCAAATTCTGTGACTGTGGGAAACTTTACCATGTCAAGATTTAAGCTTTGTTTTGTTCTTTAGAAGAATCAAATAGGACTGATATTAGCCATGGTCATTATAACCTGCCCGGGTGGAAGCCCTGCTTAGTCATTTGGTGGCATCAGCGTGGACCCTTCTGCTCTCTCTGTAGAACAGGCGGTTTGTCAAGGACGTGGTGAAGATCTATTCCATCACGGCCACCAACGCAGCCGACGGGGTGGCGTCCTCCTGCCGTGCCTGTGCCCTGGGCTCTGAGCAGTCAGGCTCATCGTGTGTCCCCTGCCCCCCAGGCCACTACATTCAGAAGGAGACCAGCCAGTGCCAGGAGTGTCCACCCGACACCCACCTGTCCACCCACCAGGTCTACGGCCTGGAGGCCTGCATTCCCTGTGGGCCTGGGAGCAGGAGCACCCAGGTGAGTGGCTGCGTGGTGTACCCCACAAAAGCGGGCTTTAATAGGGAGACTCAAGGGTCCCCACAAGCTACGAAGCTGCTGTGTACTCTGAGCAACAAAGGCCTTTTAGTTCCCTTCATTGGGATCTCACATTTACATCCCTCCCGTTTCCTGAGCACTGAATATGTGCCATGAAAGTGCTAATTACCACAGACATAAAAGTACATGTGCTAAGAAACGCACTCAAATCCAAATGTTTTCCAACAGCAGTAAAACTGATTTCTTGTGCATTGTTATGGTACATCAAGCAAATATGACTTACTGTAGACTGGCCATAGGGGTTATTTGGAAAGCCACGGGTATATCTTACAATGTTTTAAAGACAAAGATCAATATTATAGTAGGGTGAAGGAGAACATAGTTTTATTGTCTTCCTTCAATATCTTTCTGTAAGAAACTAACTTGGGAATAACTCACTAAAGGATCTGAATCCTCTGAGCTTTTCCTAGAGAAATCTATAGAGTTTAGACCTTATACTGACATGGTAACACAGAACTAAAACACAATTACCAAAGTATCTACTTTATATCTAGAACATTTTGGATACCCATTTCAGCAGCAGTTAATACCTTCTTTCCCGCAATATTGTTTCTTCATCTTCAAACAAAGGACCATTCAGTTTGCTACAGTGACTGCTTTTTCTACCATGAAAAAGAAAACCAGAGCTTGCACTATGACTTCAGCAACCTGAGCAGTGTGGGCTCATTAATGAATGGCCCCAGCTTCACCTCCAAAGGAACTAAGTACTTCCACTTCTTCAACATCAGCCTGTGCGGGCACGAGGTGAGTTCTGCTGGCCAGGGAGGGGAACTCACTCCAGCTTGGGCTGAGCTCATGTGGCCTGGTGGAGGGACAACAAGTAACCTGCTGTGGGGACTGCCAGCCGCTGTCAGGCCTGAGCTGTGATTATGCAAGCCCTGATGCCTCCAGTCAGGTTATGTGTTAGTTACTCTTCTCTCATTGCTGAGGCAAAACACCCAAAGTTAGAGGGGAAAGGGTTTATTTAGCTCACGGTTGGTAGAGGTCTCAGTCCATAATTAGCTGGCTCTAAGCAGAGTGGCACATGGCAGAGGGGGAACAGTTCATGGTGGCAGAAAAGAGCAAAAGCAACGTGGGACCTGACCAGTGTCAGCATCAGTGTGGTGCCAGACCAATCACTAAGCCAGTTACTGGCTTAGTAATCACACGCCCTTAATCCCAGCATCGCACTCTAGACTCAGCCACCTAGGCCCCCGTGAGGCTCTGGGGGGCATCCAGACCTAACCGTGACAGGCTGGCAGCTCTCTGCCAGGGAGACCTCACCTGCCCTGAGGAGCCTGAGTGTGGATCTGCAGGCAGTGCATCGAGGGCCTTCAGTTTCTGTCCCCGTGAAAGCAAGTCACCCTTGTCAGTCCCACCGAGTCTTTCAGGGAAGCAGTTACGGTTTGGGAAAGTCTTACTGTTGCTGTCCATATTAGTCAGGGTTCTCCAGGGAGAGGAGCAGTGGACAGGAGAGAGGGTTTATTTTGGACTTGACGGTGACTTTGGAGGCTGAGACGTCCACGACAGGATGTCCCCACGCTGGATGCCCCGGGTGCTGGTGTGCCTCAGTCCTGGTCCAGACGCCTCGGACTGCACTTCCCAGTGGGGCTGATGCCCTGAGAGCCTGGACCCCGCAGGTGTGAGTCCTGAGGTGCCCAGGAGGTTGAGAGCCTGGAGCTGCCGGATCCCGGCAGGTGGAGGAGAGCGTCCCCACTCCGGGTTAGCAGAAGCCTTCCCTCTGCCTTGCGTCCCCGGCTGTCCCCGACTGACTGCTGCCTGCTCACGCCTCGGGCCTGTCTTCCCTCGTCCACCCTGGGTACCCCATCTCCTGTAGAGATGTCAGGGACATCCAGGGTCACCACCCACCCATGTCCAGGCAGCGCCCCAGCGACTCGGACTGACATAGGAGTTGGCGTCCGCACACATGTCGTCAGCTTTGGTCTAAGGAGAATTGGTACAAAGTGAAAGGGAGGGATGCAGGGCCAAACGCCAGTCGATAGGGAACTCTGCCGTCAGTGATGGGCCTGCACTTCTGTGGGAGGAAGCAGCACTGTACCTGCACGGTTAGCGGGGGTTTGAGGACCATGGGATTCAGTATGTTCATGGATATCTGTGGTTGGGATTGGGATGAGTTTATCTGTATATACCATTAAGAGAGGTGGAAACCGTAAGGCGCTTCCTCCATGTCTCTTCCACACTCACTTCTGTATATGCCTTCCCTAAGGCATCCCATGCCAGACTTCTTTCTTCAAAGGCAAGGAAAAGAGATCTGATGACTGTGGACATTTTCAAATAAAAGTGTGGTGTGGGTTTGCACTCTCCTGACCTTACACGGGCAGTCCCACACTCGCTAGGCCACTTGCCCCAAGTCAGTCACTCGATAAATAAATACATAGCAAGTAATACCTTGCTTCAAGAGCTCTTCTGTTTGCAAACAGAAGTGTTCAGCAGAATTTTGCTTCCATTTGCAAACTCTGTATTGGGTGATAAACCGCCCGTCTTCCCCACACAGGGCACCCCTCCATCCTCCCCAGACTCCAGACTGAGGCGCTGCTGCACCTGCGGTGGGTATCACAGGGCCCGGCAGCGCTGAGGTGGACTCCTTGATCTCTTACACTTCTCAGCCTGATCCCGTTCCCCTCTTCTTTCTTTCTTCTCATTCCTCTCATCTTTAGTCTCTGTGATTTCTCTTTTCTCTCCTCACTATTTCTCTCTGCTTCTTTCCATTATTTCTTCTGGGCTTCAGCAGTGTAATTTTGGGTTAGGAAAATGTACTTCACGGGGAGGTCTGGTGCAGGGAGGGAAATGGGTAGGTTGGATCCAGGTTGCATTATTCTGCTAATCTGTGCATGCTACCTCTGAGATGGATAAAATACTTTTCCAGTTTCATTTCTACATTTTTTTGTAGAAATCATGGCACAAGCTATAGTTCCTTCAGTGGGACCGTATGTTTAGGCATACTCTAGTAAACAGTTGGCTCTGTGTTCTCTCTCTCTCAGCTCTTATTTTTGTTAGCACGAGTCTTCAGTGCAAAGCAATCGCATTGACTGTGGGAGCCGGTCCACGTCCAGAACACGTCTGCTCTCTTCGTCCCTTCCTGCCCCTCCTCCCCTCCTTTTCTCGGTCCGCTTCTCTTTTGCAAAAGATCTATTTCCCTGTTTCCTATCATCAGTTTTTTATTTTGCTCTGTAACTTATTTATATTTGGGGCTTCTCATGTAAACCATGTGATATTTATAAATTGTACCTTCCAGCTAACCTGTAAATGATTAAAAAGTTAGCTCCTTGTATTATCTTCGGTTTCCTGTGCACATAATCAAATCCAAGAGTCGGGGAACAGAGATACTGTAGTGGCTGATTCTTTATGGCCCGGCTAGGCTGGGGCTGGCTACAGTATGTCCTTCAGGCTTCCTCCTTCAGCATCACCCTGCCTTCCTGCCACACTTAGGCCTGTCCAGGAGGAGGGAGAGCAGACTCCATCCTTGCCTGGAAGTCTGGGCCAGCATTTACTGATCTCTTTGTACAGTTGCTGTGGGGATCGAGTGTTTATGGATGACTTTTCTTTCCTTAAGCTGTGTGGCTTCCATCCAACACCCGAGGCACAGGGCAGCTGAGCAGCTGCAGTGGCTCTCGGCCCTGGCTGGACAGTGGAGCTGCCATGAGAGGTTTTTAAAAGTACGAATGCCTGAGCTTCGCCCCAGATCAGTTAGGCCAGTATCTCTGGTGAGGAACCAGCCACTGCACTCCTGGCCACGGACTGACACTCTGTTTAGAGCTGGACTCTCAGGAAGCCTCCCACTGTGACTTTGCTTCTCAGGGGAAGAAAATGGCTCTGTGCACGAACAACATCTCGGACTTCACCGTGAAGGAAACGGTGCTGGGCTCAGATGATTATGCGAATCTGGTCGGAGCATTTGTATGCCAGTCAACAATTATTCCTTCTGAAAGCAAGGGTTTCCGAGCAGCCTTATCATCCCAGTCCATCATTTTAGCAGATACATTTTTAGGTAAGCTTCCTTTGGCTAAGAAGTGCGTGTGTACGTTTATCCTAAAAATATGGTCACAGTCACTCAGCATGGCATCGATGTTAGCCACAGATGACTGAGGCCCACAGGTAACTCTGAATCGTCATTTTGTAAAATGCCTAAAAAGCTCCCACTGAGGGGTCTATTGATTACCTCACAGAGTGCAAGGAGATTCTGAATTTATGTGTGAGCTCATATGTGATGCGGCCTTCTATGAGGCTCTAGGCCTTTTATCAGAGTAAGAGCCAAGCTAATGATGAAGGCGAAAGGACAACAAAAAAGTAAGAACAGAAAGCAAACACAGTCTAACCCTAAACCACAGTTTATGCCATCAGTTTTCATAGTCTTTTCCTAGGCCATAAATAGGCTGGTAGCAAAGCTGAGGTGCTGAGCTTTCTTCCCCTGTGCCCTTCCGGCTCCATGGCCCTGAAGGGAGAGGAAGTTAAGAACGTGGGTCTGTAAGTGCGGATTCTTAGGAGTGGACTTCACTAGGACTTCTGGGGTGGGGCTAGGAGCTTATGGTTTTGACAAGCCCTGTGGGTGATTCCGGTCTGCAGCCGGCCTGGAGAACCAGGGCGTTGGCGCTCGGATGGAGCTTCAGGCTTCAGCACCTTGGCCAGCGGCCGGGCTGGTATTCAGCGCCTCAGCTCCCGAAAGGCTGCTGCTATTTCTGCAGTTGGTTCTGTCATTTCACCTATTAAGAGATAGGAAGAAAGTCTTGGGGTTTTTTGCTTATTAAATGAAGTAGATTTTGAGGTTATTTTAAAAAATTAGGATATATGGGGGTCTCGCTGTTGACAAAGCTGGCTTTGAGCTCTTGGGCTCAAGCATCTTCCTGCTTCAGCCTCCCAAGTAGCTACAACCACTGTGTCTGTGAACTCAGCAAAAAGCGATGTGAGCAAAATAGCCCAGCTCATTTGACGAAACTCACCAGAGGGTAACAGTGGTACAGTTTTGAAATATTAGAACTAGAAGGGACTTGATGTATCACTTTCTATTACTGCGTGCATTTTACAGATTCTAGAACTAAGACCCAGAGAAGTGACGTGACTTCAGCTAATTGCGGCTCGGGAGGAGAATCTTTTTATTCTGAAGGCTATGGAAAGATCATATTTTTACTAGGAATACATTGCTTTAATACAGTATTTCTGGTGAAATGACAGTCATCAAAGTAAAGCTATTTTCTATTCAGATATTTGGAGACTAAATAAACCTAACATGCCCATATTCTTAATAGTTTCTTTCTAAATGTCATCTAGGAGTGACAGTTGAAACCACATTGCAAAACATTAATATAAAAGAAGATATGTTCCCTGTTTCACGAAGCCAAATACCTGACGTGCACTTCTTTTATAAGTAAGTGAAGATGCTGCTTTCTTGACTGTCTCTCGTGTGTGTGTTTTATTACCCCCCAAATCTTACATAATTTCTCCCAAATATAGATATATGTATGAATATACAGATAAAGTAAATATATTTCTTTAAAATAAGCAATAAATAGACTAATTCATTGTGTAGGCAGTAGTGACTTTAATTCATACCAAACTATCAGCCTAAGGCCAGGTGTGGTAGCACACACATGTAATCTCAGCCCTTGGGAGGGAGGCTGAGGCAGGAGGAATTCGAGGCCAGCCTGGGCTGTACAGTGAGACTCTGTCTCAAAAGAAAATATCAGCGCAAGTAGATAGGACTCCTATTCCCTTTAAAGACATTTTGATTAAAATTAGAACAGGCTGATCATAGAAATACCTTTGTGTATGATTTTACCTAAGAAAATGATCACCTTTTCATAGGCACTGAAAGGAAGTGAATTTGCACTAAAATTTTAAATTAGTGGACTTTAATACATTTTTCTATTTCATTTGTTCATAGAATATGCAGGACATTATGCACACATGTTTGTCTTGCTAATCTGCGTCATATCTGGCTTTTAAAACGCTCTTTGCCTTGTGACAGGTCTTCCACAGCAACACCGTCCTGTCCCGACGGCCGATCCGCGGCTGTGAAGATGAGGTGCAGCCCTGCGAGGGCCGGCACGGGCGTGATCTTGCTCCCCAGGTACCGGGCTCTGCGGCTGTCCCACATCTGCACGTGGTTTCAGAAGCAGAACCCCAGGCTCTTCCCGCCGCAAGACCATTCTTTATGGAAGTAAAGCAGAACGAGGACAAAAGAATCTGCAGGTTTTGCTGTGGGCTGTGCTGTGCAGTGCGCTGGTTAGGGCAGGCCGTTGTCCAGTCTCAGGGCTTTCTTGCCTTTTAAATGACGTGTCCGTGAGTGTCTTCTCCCAGGAAAGCGATCTGGGCGGGTCCTAATTATCCTCCATTCCCTGGAGAGCTGGGTTGGGAGCTGTCCTGGTTTAGGGGATTGGACTGACAGTGAACTGCATAGCTGGGCCAAACAGACAGAGCAGCCCAGCTTCTGAGTCTCGTTCCTCCCTCTGGAAGGGCGCGGCAACATGCAGGATCCATGTCTTCCTCTTGGGTGAGGGAGGGTCATGCAGTCCCTTGACTGCCTGACACCCGTCGCTGGCTCGCCACACTTGGACGTGGCAGGGTTGGCTCTCTTTGGGTGGGGACCCCGTGGGGCTACGCTGATCCCTAGGCTCAGGAAACTGCCAGTGTGGTGAAGCCTGCTTCTGCGGGCGGCACGGCGAGGTGCCTCCTGGCTTTTGTTTTGCAGTTACTTCTCACTTGGTGTGCAAACTCTTCATTTTTATCTTGTTAGGATTAAGGGACATTTGATCAGTTTGAGTTGGAGATTTTCCACCATCAAACCATAAAAGCGTGTTTTCTTAAAGAGTAAATGGTTGATTTGATTTGTTCTTGATAATTTCACAATAACCCTGAGGCATTTTAAGTTACCTTGCTATGTCACATCAGGATTGGATGTCATGGGTACCCTGAAAATAACCACAGTGGTAGCGCAGTGTTGGGGTTGATTCGGGGCACACAGGTACACTGACCTTCGCTTCTCATCAGCTCCGTCTCTGCTTGTCGCAGCCTGTGAAGTAGTTATTCCCGCACCTGTTCATGGTGAGAGGAGTAGCAGTAAAGGCAGTAGACAGCAGTCCCGGTCAGGGGCTGCTCCTGCACCCCGGGGCGCCTCTGCAGCCTCTGCCGGAGTCCGGGCAGCCAGGCACACTGGGTGAAGAGGGCTCCCCCTTGTCCACGGCCCCACTGCATGGCCTCTAGTTTGGGTACTTGTGCTGTTCCCTGTGGGCTGCTGACCTTCCTTTGGGACCCCGGCCCCTGGGTCCTGCACTGGAGTCTGCCCGGCAGCCCTGCACCCTCCGGGGCTGGTGAGTTCCCGAGGCCGGGTCTGACATTAGCAGCAGGCGCAGTCACCCTGTCTGACATCTCAGTGTCAGGGTGGAGGCAGCCCCGGGGCTTCGTGGTGGCCTGGAGAGAGCCCCGGTGTCCTGTGAGGAGAGAAGCTTCTCCTCTGACCTCTGGCAGCTGCTCCTTGGGCACCTTAACTGTCTGCAGAGTTTCTCAAGATCCCCTGCAGCAAAAACCTAAGGGCATCTACTTAAAAATTGACTCTAAAGCGAATGGACCATACAAGAATATTTTAAAAACCCAAGACAACTCGGGTGCATAGTGAAATTTGAGAACCACGTGTCTTAGAGGACATTTTGTCGTCGTGGCTTGTTTCCCTGAGGTTTGTCTTCCAGCCTAGTGCAAACTGTTGTGGTCCACAGTGCCATCCTCACCCAATTTCGGGAGGGCGTCAGTGCAGTTGTGATGCACACTGGGCGGGCACACTGCTCGCTGAGAGGCCTGCGCCTTAGTCCAAAGGTGCCCACCTTCGGTCTTCTTCTGGCTCAGTTTCCCATCGGGGCACCAGGGGGCGCTCAGGGAGCGGAACTCAGGAAAGCGTGGCTCTCCCTGAAATAATGTCTTCCTTCCCTTCCTCCCATCTGTGGGATGAATAAAGATTTCTCACTAACAGGAAAGAAATGTTGAGGAAGCCAGGTTTCTCAGGTTACTTTTGAAGTGGATTTATTTTGCACTGTTTTGAAGTGCAAGGGAAGACAGCTGCTAGCCAGGCAGCTGGCTTCGGGAAGTCTCAGGGGAGACTTCAGGGCAGAAGGGTGCCTTGGCACCGAGAATCTTGGTAAGCCAGGCAGGAGCGACGTGAATGTCGTTCTGCTGTTGAGGCTCTGGGTCTCGGTGGCCCGGGAAGTCGTGGAACCCTCCAGCCTCAGGGAGGGAACACGTCCTCACGGCAGCAGCAGAAGGGCAGCTGTATCTCCTGGTATCACTCAGGCCTGGGAGGGGCAGCAAGTCGTCTGGGCGCCAGCTCAGGTGCAACCGGAAACCGCAGCCTGTCTGTGTGGCCTGGCAATGTGCTGGTTTGTAATTCCTCAGGGTCTGGAGGGCATGAGCATTTCATGTGCAAACTCAGCAGCTGAGTGGACTTTTGAGATCAGTGCAGTTTGCTCCTTGGGCCCAGTAGCCTGTGATATCCTGCAATTCACGCCCCAGGCTTGCTCACCTCGGAGCCCACACCTGGGTGCGCAGAGCAAGTGAGTCCTCTCGGCACCAGTGATAGGGACCTGAGCACTGTCCAGAGGCTCTTCCACTTCACACGAGACCCTCCCTCCCCCAGACGCCATCCCTGCACTGTGGGGACCCGCCTGCCCAGCTGCCAGGTGACCCATGGAGGTGGGCCGATTTCCTGACTGCGTTTCCTGTCCTTTCATACTTGGTTCTCGCCATCACCCTCCACTTCCTCATCGCAGAAAAGTGCACTGAGAGCTTAAGAGGCAGACGGCACACTTGTCCTCAAGGGTAACTCAGCAGAACCTACAGCTCCTTGTAAATGAATTGTCTTTCCTCAGAGTTTCCTTTATTACTATTATGAGTTGAAGTAAAAACATCATCTTCATCTCTCTTTCCCTTCCAGTTTTTTTTTTTTTTTTTGGTATCAGGGATCGAACTGAGGACCTTGCGCCTGCAAGGCAGGATGGTGCCACCGAGCTAAATCCCTGGCCCTCTTTCCCTTCCAGTTTTTTTTTTTTTTTTTGGTATCAGGGATCGAACTGAGGACCTTGCGCCTGCAAGGCAGGATGGTGCCACCGAGCTAAATCCCTGGCCCTCTTTCCCTTCCAGTTTTTGACCATGATTGCATAGTTTATAAATCAGTCTGAAGTTGTTTTGCCAAAACCCCTTTCAGAATCCAAATCCATTTTCATTATCAGTGTGGTCCCAGAATATCGTCATCTCATGAGTATCATGAAAGGGATGCTTCACTGTCCTGTCCTGATAGCGTGCAAGGTTGGATGCTCCATGGGCTGTTTTATATTGGTACATTTTAGGTGTACATGACGGTCACATTCATCATTGGGAGTTTGTACCTGCACATGATATATCTTGGTCATGGGCTCTGTTTTAGAGTCTTTCCCTCAGAGTCATCAGATTTATTGGACACTGATGTAGTAGTCGGTGTGGTCATTGGGGAAGGCGTGCTAAAATCAGAAAGCCTGTGCATTTTAAGTTACTGAGAGCCAGGGAAAGATGATCACATGAGCTCCTCATCTTCCCTCTGAGGCTTTGCAGATGCAGAGCTCTGGATTTGTATGAGGTAATTTCAGAAGGTACTAGAACTCATACTATTAAAAGCAGATATGCTCTTAGAACATTAAAGTGTAGGGAGTCATATAAAAGCATCTTGAGCATACATGAAAAGAACTGAAGTTAAGGAATGGAAAAACTAAGGTGGACTTGCTGAAATCGTACAACTCCAGCACTCTAACAAGTAATCACAACACATAACGAACATTACCCTAAAGCGTTCATAAGGTCTTTAGAGCAATTTGGAAATAAGAATGATCAAGTTTTTCTACAAGAAATATGTACACAATTTTTTTTTTTTTTGTACCGGGGTTCAAACTCGGGTCCTTGTGCTTGCGAGGCAGGTGGTGAAACCACTGAGCTACATCCCTGGCCTGCAGGAAAGATATAGACTCCATTAACAGAAGAAGCCAGAGAGTATAAATTAATTTACTTTGTCCAGATTTTGATTAGATGCTGACTTTTGATAACTAACCTAGGATAGACTCTTCAGGAAAGAAAGATTTTATAGGAGAGTGGTATACTTTTTGAATCCCTTGATAGAAGATCTGTGGGCAAAAAGGAATCTTGTGTCCAGCTCAGTTCTAGCGTCTGAATATTCATGTGCTCCCAAGTTCAAGGCTGAAATAACCTCACTTAATGCCGAGCCAAGCTGAGGGCATTAGGAAGTAGTGCGTTTGAGGCACTTAGGCCACGGCGGCTCTGCCGACTCAGATGAGCTTAGTGGCCCTGGAAAGAGCCCAGAGGGCAAGCTGTTGCCTTCAGCATGCGAGGACGCAGCAAGGCAGCTCGTAGGGAGCAGAACAAGCCTTCCCAGATGCCGGTCTCTGCACCCGTCTCTCGGGCTAGTGTGTTGTGCTAGACACCAAGTTGAACAGCCTGTGGAGACCAGGGTCACCGCAGAACGACTGCAAGAGGTGGTGATGGTGCTGCTGACCCCACGTGAGCAGGTCCTCTGCCTCTACCAGGCGCTCTCGGCAGAGGAAGCCCGAGTTTCCTGAGATGCCGAAGCTGAGCTATCACCACCAGCAGGTGAGAGGCAGCACTGCCCTCACTGCGGGCCACAGACGGACATCCTGCTGCCTTTCTCAGAAGCTGCTGCGGGAGGAGCCGGCCAGCAGAGGCGTCCTCGCTATGGGTGAGAAGATCCCAGTACACGGCACGGTGCCCCGGGCCCTGAGACTGCCTTGGAAGGTCAGTGAGGCACCACACTGCAGAAGGCTGAACTTGCAATCTGAACAGAGTGTGGGTGAAAAAACCTACACTGCCTTGGAAGCTGAATGTGAGGTCACGAGACAGGATTGTTCTCATGAGTCCATCAGGTGAACCTCGCAGATCCTGCTGTAGGAAAGGTGGTTTACTTGAAACATGGCTCTTTAGCGTTGCTCGGTGTGGCCCCAGGAAGTGTACCCCAGTTTGGAGTCTGAGACCCGTCTTCCTGAACAAGGATGCACCCGAATCCTGACATGGCGCCGGCGACATCATATTTATAGAAGGCAGAGTCAGAAGCCAGGCCAGCCAGCTGGGAAGCCTGATCTTGTCCACGATGCAAATGAAGTCAGGGTCCACCTGACTGCCTCATAAAGGGTCCTCCCAGATTCCACAGCACTCGTGGGAACCCAGGACCCAGCTGGAGAGCCGAGCCATGACCGTGGGCGGTCTCTACAGACGCTGGCTCACTGTGCCCTGCGACTAAGCCACAGGGCAGGGAGGAAGCCTGCGGTGGTGGCTTCTCATCCCAGCCTCGGGATGCTGGGCGGAGGCGGGGCAGTGTTAGGGCTACGAAGAACCGAAAGGAACAGTGTTTCAGGTGCCGGGCAGCAAAATGTTTGTCTAGTTTGCTGTTGGCTCTTTAGTCTTCTTACAAAAGAAGGCCTTTAAAACCCTTCTCTTGTACGTTCTTCTTTTAATCTGTGAACAAGCACTGCTGGAATTTATCACTGCTTCACATGTCCTGTCCTTCCCCAAGAAGGCTCCAAGCTATGCCCCTTTGGTCCGTGGCAGAGGGTTGCATGTGGGTGTTCTGCATTTTAAGTGATTTATTGGGGTGGAAGAATTAGGGAATCAATTCTAAACTAAACTCCTTTCAGCCCACAAGTACCTTCAGGAGAGCAGAGTCTGCCCAGGACGGGTATCGAGTCACCACGGTGTTTGGACTCGGTGACAGTGGGGACCTCAGCTCCTACCAGCCTCTTGGTGCTTGGTGATGGTTTCTGAAGTTCCGTCCGTTCTTTAGAGAGTGACGTGCATTGTTAACGGTCTTTTATGTTTTTGCAGAGCTTTAAACTTTCCAGAATTACTCTGTCATCATACTTGTTTTAACTACCCTTTGTAGGCAGTAGAGCAGATATCGAAGTTAGCAAATAACAAAGATGAAGCAGAGGGCAGGAAGAGATGAGTCGTGTGTGCGAAAACACCCTTCTGAGTCAGAATTGCAACTTGAGTGTTCCCTCTGAGATTATTGAAACTTTGATTAATTTTTTCCTTTTTAAAATTTAAGATTTTCTCCCCAGGTAAATAATTTGAGTATGTACATATTTATTGGTTTATTTTTGTTTGGTGCTGGGGCTCAAACCCTGGGCTCTGGGTCTGCGGAGCAAGGGCTCTATCTACTACTGCATGCCAGCCCCAGCCCTGGTTTGTTTTCCCACCTTCACAGCTTCTCCATATTGGGAAGATCTAGTTGAAAATAACTTGCAGAGGAGAGATTTGAGTCAGCGTGGTGGTAATTTTTCCTAAGTGATTAGAAAATATAATCACTTTTAAAATTGTATTTCATAGGGCTGGGGATTTAGCTCAGTGGTTCCACCACCTGCCTCGAAAACTAAGGACCTGAGTTCGATCCCCGGTACCAAAAGAAAACAAAAACAAAATTGTATTTCATTGTTGTGCAAATAACAGTTCTGCTCTTGAAGAATTTTCTAAGTGGCTACCTTCTCTTCTTTGTTTTGGAAGGACATATTATAACATATAATATAACATTATATTGCTTTTGCTGATGTAGATAGTGGAGAACAGGGATAATGTTTTATGTGGCATGGTTTTCATTTCTCCTTGTTAAGCCTCCACTTGTTTCTTAGTCTGGAATATATTCATTACTCTCTTTTTTTACAGACAGATAGATTAAGGCAGATAACAGTTAAGCCATTTTCCAGAGTCACCATTTGCTGTTGTTCTTAGCTCTAACCAAAAACCTTGGGTCTCAGCCAGAGCAAGATGTAAAGATTGCTGTTAGTTACACTGACAGCGTCTGCTTCAGCTGCCACACACAGACTCTGCAAAGACAGACAAGCATTGGAAATACTGTCCACTCTTAGCTAGAATTAGGGTGGCTTTCTGTAAATGTCCGTATTCTAAAGAGTCTCAGAATATATTAACTAAGAGTATGAACTTTTACTTTGTTAAAAGACTGAAAAATAGAGCTCTGGACTCTATCATTAAACAGGCATTTGAAGTTAAAACCCAGGAGTATTTTCCTGATTCTCACTACAGACATTCCTTGTTTAATGACCAAGTTACATTCCTGTGACTGGGTTGTTGAATGAATTTGTCCTAAGTGAGGAATTGTATGTAGTGTGCACATTACAATATTCAGAACAAAGAAATGGTCAAAGGAAACTCCAGCTTGATGACTTTGCTTTTATTTGCATAACTCTTGCATGCAGTACTGTAACATATAACAGAACATAAAGCTACAGTACTGTACTGAACAGTACGGTCAGCAGAAGTGACAGTACTGAACTGTAGAAGAAGCCAACATAAGGCTGCCTGCTGGTCACGTTCCCGTGTCCTGAGTCTGAAAGCTTTAAGCAGGTGGGTCGTTAAATGTCTGCATTCTGTGTCTGCCTGTGTCCCTTGGTGGTTAGGAGACCTGCACTCAGCATCCGCCGGGTCTGCACGTGGTGGGCAGGGGAAGCCTCTCTTTACCTGGCTGGATCGAGGGAGCTGCAGCCGTGGTGGATGGATGTGGGGCAGCATTGCCCTAGTGTCAGCAAGTTCACCAGCAAAGCAGCTGTGCTCGTGAGAAGCTTCAGTCGGGATTCCGTGCACAGTAGCGACAGGTTAATTCTGACCCATTCTGTGCCAAGCTGAGCCACTCCAACCATGCTGAGCTAAAAGGAAAGTGCAGGTAGCCCCACCAGAAAGCCGTGTTTCAGAAGGTCCACGGAGGCCCTGCCTGGTGCTCAGCACCTGGTGTGTGCCCCGTGGGCCAACATGGTCATTCGCACTGTGATGGGTTGGTTTGTGGGGACATCGTGTGACACGTTCTCCCTCCCTTCCAAAACTCCATGGTCCCGGGTGTCACCCTACTCCGCAGGACAGCACCCTCAGCAGGGCCTGCATCTCCTCAGCCCCAGGCCTCTGGGTCCTGACTGTCTGCCCTGCTGCCTCGGGAAGGTTTCGTGGCAGTGAGCCCGTGGGTTTTCCTGCTAACTCAGCGCCCGGCTGCCCTGTGGCAGGATGGAGTGCTGTGTTTCCTCCCTCTAGCTGACCCCTCCCGAGTGTCCCAGACTCGGCCTGCACGGCTCTTCCTCCAAGAAGCCTGCCATAGCCTCATCCTCTGTGTCTGTCTCTCTCTCAGACTTAAACCAGCTTTACAGAAACATCATTAACACATCCAACAATTTAGCCATCTAAAGGCTGTAATTCAGTGGTGTTTATACTGTTTGCAGATATGCACAACCATCACCACAGTCAACTGTAGAATCTTTTCATCACCTCAGAAAGGAACTCTGCACCCTTTAGGTCTCCCCTGTCTGCACCAGGTCCTAAGCAGCCACTACCTTTCTCAGATGTGGATCTTCGTGTGAATGGCATCATATGCCATGTGGAATTCTGTGACATTTTTTCATTGAGCACAGTATTTTCAAGATTCAGGACAGTGTGGCATATATCACTATTGCATTTCTTTTTGTGGCCAAGTAGTACACCTTTAAACATCCTATATTCCATTTATTTATCTGTTCATCTGCTGATGAACATTTGGGTTGTTTCCACCTTTTGGCCATTATGAGTAATGTTGTTACGGACATTTGTGTACAGTTTTTTTAATGGACATATGCTTTCATTTCTCTTGGTTGTATATATGAAGTGCGATCAAAACATATGATTAATGTTTAAAATAAAAATTTTATTACAGCGAAAGACACATTGCTCTTCACACCCCAGAAACCCCACCCCTAACTGGAACACACTTATCCCATTGTTTTTGCCATTCCTGCAGGGGCTCTGGAGTCCTCTCTCCTGAGGGTCTTCAGTTGCACCGTTTCAGCTGTCTCCATGCTCTGAATCAATGCAGGATGTCCCCTTTCCCGGTCTTGTTGGCTTTGGGGAAGAGCCGGGAGTCCCATGCACCACGTCCTGTGGATAAGGTGGATGAGGACACAGCATCATGATTTTATTCAGCAGAAACTTCAGTAGATATCCCTAGGAGTAGACTTGCCACGTTCCTGGGAACACCTGGTTACTTGAGGGACTGCTGGATTCCTTTAGGCATCCCCCTCGCAGGGCGTGAGGTCCTGGGCCCACCCTCACCGCGCTTGCTGTTAGCTGTGTTAGTTAACCCTGCCTTCCATGTGGCCGTGTCCCTCCGTGTTCACCCTGCGCCCCAGCACAGTGGGCACCTCGCTGTTGACAGACGCCGTTGTCTCTTTTCACTCCAGCAGGTGCCCGGCAGGTACCTGTGACGGGTGTGCCTTCTACTTCCTGTGGGAGAGTGCCGAGGCCTGTCCTCTGTGCACAGAGCAGGACTTCCACGGCATCGAGGGCGCCTGCAAGCGAGGGCTGCAGGTGAGGTCTCCGCCCTCCGGAGTGGGCGCGACAGCAGCTTCCCTGCGTTTCATCACGGGGAAGGAGGCCGGGTGTGGAGCCTGAAAACAGCTGGAGCTGAAATCTTGCCCCGGAAGCCGTTCTGACCGGCTGTCTTCCCGCTTCGCCCCGTCTTTGTTCCACGCTTCACGCGTTTTCCTTTGTGGTGACTAAAGTGCTCTTCCCCCTTCTGCGAGTACACGGGGTGCGCGCACGTGTGAAGTGACATTTACACGCTGTGCAGCTGGGCATGACAGTGCTCTTCTCCAGTGGGGTCTCCCCGCTGTCCGGGCATCACGTGCACAGCCACACAGCAGGAAGACTGGAGGGTTGAGGCTCTTTTAGCACTAGGAAAGAGTTTTGATTGTCTCAGTAAATTTATCTTAATCCTGTTCAGAAATATCACTACTGCTGGAAGAATAAACATTTCCGCTGAAATTAGGTATTTTTGTTTTCTTCTGTGGTTAGATGAAGGGATAAGGCTTTCTAATTAATAGTTACAGGACGGCTAGGCAATTTTACTGAGCAAGATTTTTTCTTTTATAATATTTGAAGAGCTTATAAAAAGCATTCTGGATTTACAAGCATCTTTTTAATTTTGAAGTCAGCTTGTTCAGCAGACTATCGCTAGACATTAGAGGTTGCTATTTTCATTGGGCATTAAAACTTTGATAAAATCATATCAACACACAATCATTTTTCATAGTAGAATGCACTTCACATGAAGTCACTTTTGCTGACTGACGTTTACATCTTTTGGTCTGTTGTCATGATTTTTACTTAGAGACACAGCAGCTGAATTTTAATACCTCTGCATTTCTTTTCTAATCATTTTTATAAAAACATGACCCATTTAAAAAGCAATTTATTCTAACCTTAATGTACATGTTACAGTTGTAATGTACTTAAAATCTAATCACTAATACCTTTTCTCAAAAAAATACTGAATGTTCTTATGCAAAACTTCATTGAAACTTTTCCTCAAAGTAAGATTCTCCTGCATATTTTCAAAATTTACTGCAAAAATATGTTTATACCTATAAACATTATGGGGTTATTCTACTAGGGAGTTCATAAGGCGGCAGTCATATGCCAGAAAACTTAATGAGGCACCATCAGGAAAAAAAATAATGCCCCGTGTCATTAACTGTCACTGAGTTTAGTTGTCATTCAGATTGCTACTGGTTGCTGTATACTTCGAAATGTATGAAGAACTGTACCCTGAATTCTGATTTTCACTTTTGATCTGCCTTATTGGATTTATTCATTTTCCAAATTTGTGGTTGTGATCTGTTATGTCGACTATATTATTCTTCGGTTAGTTGTATCTTGCTATTGGAAACATTGCCCTAAAGGAGCCGAGTCACCTACTTTGGGAAGGTGCATGGGCCCAGGGTGGGCAGTGTGGTGGACACGTGCCTCCCCTGATTTGACCTGGAGAAAAAAACATGATGAAGAAGTCAGGTATGGGCCAGGGATTTAGCTCAGTGGTTTCGCCGCCTGCTGCGCAAGCGCAAGCGCAAGGACCTGAGTTCGATCCCCGGTACCAAAACAAAACGAAACGAAACAAAAAAAAGAAGTCAGGTATGGATAAATTTGAGGAAAAGAGCCCCCAGAGATGTGTTCAGATGAAGTCATTTTTATTCAACCTGCTCGGCAGGCAGGGAGCACCTCTGAGGCGAAATCCATGTCTTGTCTGGCACTGCACTTTCATTTATTATTCCCTTATCCTTTCTCTTCTGTGTCTCTGTCTTCTCTTGCTGGAGCTTTTCTTAAGGGAATGCCAAATAATCCTCTGGGCTCACTGTGACAAAGGGATTAGCAAGCTCTTTCTTCTGCTACATGAAAAGTTGACCCAAGGACAAATTTGGTTTTCATGATTGACTCTGCATCTCCTTTCTCCTGTCACCTGTGGTTATATTTGCTTGTTTTAAAAGGAAACCTTGTACGTGTGGAATGAACCTAAATGGTGCATTAAAGGGATTTCTTTGCCTGAGAAAAAGCTGTCAACCTGTGAAACCATTGACTTTTGGCTAAAAGTGGGAACTGGAGTAGGAGCTTTCACAGCCGTTTTGCTGGTGGCCCTAACTTGCTACTTCTGGAAGAAGAATCAAAAGTAAGCAGCTTCACTGGAATGATCACCTAAGAACTGGGGGCTTCATTTGTGCCATGAAGTTTTAGTTAACTAGTTCATGTAGACTCTGAAAGGCGCAGGACATTTCTCCTAGGGAAAAATGTCCATTTTTCCTATATGAAAGGTGTCTGAGAAGGCAGCAGAGGGAGTGATTATTATTCTGATCACAGAAAGACCACAGAGCATTAGAGATCACTGAGTTAGACTTGTTTATTATCACAGAGAGAAATGAAAGCTCCAGGCTGCCACATAAATGGCAGCAGGGCTGAGATTGGAAGTCAGGGTTTCTCTGGTTTCTCTTTTTATAACATGATGATGTCTTCCTACTCCACTTTTGCTTTTCAAATTCTTGTGGGCAGATATTTGGAAAGAAATAGACTAAGTATATAGACAAATATCACATTTCTTTACTTCATGTCTCCGAGAATCTGGGACTGAATATCAAGCCTAACCTCTGAAAAAGTATTGATCTGTTACATGTTTGAATCTTTGAAATAATCTACATCTCACTGGGACTGTGGAAGATACATATTCTACTGTCTAGGACCATGGTAATATCCAAGGTGGTGAGTTAAGTATAAAGGTGTAAATGATGTAGACAGACAGTTAGGATGAAATCACTTGCCTGCTTAATATGCTCATCCTTGTGAACTGAACTTTAGAAAATGTGGTAGTGGATTGGCATCCACATACTAATAAGAAAATGCTTTCTGATCTCAAGGTGTTTGTTTTCCAAATGTTCCATGGACAGTTCAGTCAATGTGAAGTAAGTAGTGGAATTCACTGTGTTGAACAGATTCTCTGACATGCTGGGAAATATTGCTATCTAGATGGTTGATAATTGGGAACACAAAGCCATGGTCTTATGTTGGTGGAGCAGCCACATTATGAGAAGACAATTTAGTGAGCTGGCATTGCCATATTCATGTAAGTGCACACTTTATTTATTATTATTTACTTTATTTACCACAACTTAGACTGGAGTACAAGTATTCCAAGCTAGTGATGACGACAAACTCGAAGGAGGGTGAGCTTCCAGCTGCAGACAGTTGTGCCATCATGGAAGGGGAAGACAATGAAGAGGAAGTGGTGTATTCTAACAAACAGTCGCTCCTGGGAAAACTCAAATCTTTGGCAACAAAGGTGAGAACAGGATTTTAACCTGGATTACTAAACCATTTATAAATCAGGACTGTGTTAACCTAAGAGCACGTAGGCAGTCCCTGTCACTCCACCATTTACATCTCAGTGGTGTTCATCCAACAGACATGCGCCTAGAAGCACATAGTTCAAACATCGAACACTCCCTGCAGCAGTGTTTTTACTGGCTAACAAAGCAGAAACAACTTATGCACCACCAATACAAAGTTAAATGAGGAAGTTCTGTATATCAAAGTGATGGGATGGTGTGCGACTGCAGCTGTGAACGTGGAGATATTTGTAGTACTGACATGTCAGTAGGTTCACAGTAAAGTGAAAACAGCAAGCAGACCATCACATCTCCATTAAACATGTATTCTATTAGCATTTGCATGGCAAACTCTTAACAGCAGCTGCTTTTTGGTAACAGGGAACTACAGAGAGTGCATAGTCTTTAATACATTTTTTTGTGGCATTTGAAGTTTCGTGAAGATAATATTTTATAATTTTAAGGAACAAAAATTAGTTAACCAAAGATCTCTTATACATCCATACTTTGTGTTTATTTTACAAGATTATTTTACATAGAAAAAATAAAATTTACATAAACTATTTTTTTGGGGGGGTACTGGGGATTGAACTTGTGTCCTTGTGCTTGTGCAGCCAGCGGCGAAACCACTGAGCTAAATCCCCGCCCCTACATAAACTATTGAGATATTTGAGGTAGCACATCAGATGCATTCAGTTTTTGGCTTTGGGAATGACTATTGTACCCAAACATAATGTGAAACCTTAAACATTTTCTTGACATTCTCCACCGTTAACGTAAAAGATGTAAATTACCAGCTTATCCATTCAAGATTAAAAATAGAATGATCCAGAAGAAAGAACATGTATGTTAAGTGATTTCCAGCAGGATGGACATGTGACAAAATATTACATTCATAGACAGTATATAGTCATCATTTCCTCTTACTTCCCTAACTTAGAAATATACATATATTATAGGAGACTATTTAAGAATAAAATGAGTAAACTGTCTTCCCCTTCTGACGGTTATTTAATTTTGTCTTGTAATATGGGAGTCTGGGGAAGCTACTGAGGCAATGGAATAATAAACATAGTGCCTGTTAAGAACTGAAAAGTTTACCCTACTGGCAAGCCAACAGTTCAGACTGCCACAGGTTCACGGATACTTTAGAAGACGTAAGGCTCCTGGTCAGAGACAAAGGACACTTCAATACTCCCAGAGGTCCTTGATAGAGTCACTGTATTTAAGCCAGCTTCCAGAGTCCCAGTTCCCACTGGGCAAATGCAGAGAAAATGAAGACACTTGGCTGCACTACTAGGAAAGAACTTGAAGCTTTGGAAAACTGAATTTTCAGAATGGGCAATGAGTAAGCCCATCCTGACTTTAAGGAGGTACTATCTTTGCTGTACTAGACAGGCAGAATGCCTGCCCCCTGCTTCAAATGGGCCGTATTCGAGCGTCCCTTTTGCTCAGGAAGGAGACAATATCTTTATCGTCTAAGGCTGCTTTCTATGCGAAGTTCTTAAAATGGTAGTCTAGAATAGAAGAAAATCAGTATCTCATTCAAAAGCTGTGTAGGAATGTAAGGAAACCATAGAGAATTATCTCCATAATAGCCAAAGTTCATTTCTCTATCATATTGGTTTCTAGTGAATTTTCCCTTGTATAGGAATCTACCCACCACTCCGATTAGTATGGCGGGCTGAGGCTGGGATCAGATCAATTTACTTCATACAGAATTGAAACAAAGCCAGTGTCAGTGAGACATGAGGCAGCAGATGAGGCCAGTCTGGATTATTTACCTCAGCCATCCTCCAGGGTCCCAGACCAACCTAGCTGAACGAATGCCATAAACCAATGAGCTTACCTTGGAAAGGTGGATGACTTTCTCAAGTCTTTGGGCTTTCTACTCAGCCTAAGACACTCAAACTGGCACCAAGATGCCAAGGGCCATCTTCTGGTGCATCTGATGGGTTCTTCAGTAAGATTAAAGGAATGGCAGCCAAACTGTGATGCGGGCACATGGTGGGTGAGGCAGACATAGCAGTCAGTTAGGTTAAAGGTATTTCCACCAGCTTGAGAGAGCCAGGCCAGGGCACTTGCCTTCACAGGAGGGTGACAAGGCGACTCTGAGGGCCCAGTGGTCCCCAGTGTGCCAAGGTACTGCTGCCCACAGCCCCAGTGGGACTGTGCACTGTTTTCCCCTGTGGCTGCTGTCCCATTCTAGTAGCTGGCACATCACCTCCCGCTACTCCTCCCTCACTGGGACCTAGGTCTGTTCTCCCAAACACACAGGTGCAAGGGGAGCAGAAACGTTTAAAACACAGTGGAGACCCTGTGTGTGGCCCACTTTTATCCATGTGAGCCCTTGCTGGGCATGTGGTGAGCATAGTACTCAGCAAGTGGTCCTATGGTTTCTGTGGAGAGTTGCAACCATCCAACCAGGCAGGAATGCAGGTGGGGGTTAAACTGGAAATGTGTTTGAGCCTCCTGGCCTGGCTGTCACTAGAGGTTGTGCTCAGGCAGCCTGGGGGTTGTCGTCAGAGCAAATAAAGACACATCTTGTTAGCATGGTCAGGCAGCATCCTGGACTTTCAGACAAGGTGTTTGTAGAGCATGTGTGTGTGTGTTCGTTTGTCCCTTCATGATGGTTATCCATGAGGAGGCCAACAGGAGATGGAGAACCATGGTTAGTGACCAAACTGCCTTCTTTAAGTTGTGTGAAGCAGGAGGCGGCGAGGGAAATAGTCAGGACCTTTGCCAGTCCCTTTGTGAGAAAGGTACCATAGGCCCCAGAGGACACAGGAAGCCCGGGAAGTCCACTGACTACCTGTGCTCTTGGCCCATTTCTAGGTGGCTTTTGTGAGCAGAACTGCACCTGTCAGGGTCCAGTTCATCCATAGGGCTACAGATGTCGTACAGATTTCTGTGCCAGTCTAGTTTTCCAAGTGGCAAACAAACCAGATGGGCCATTTTAGTAGCTCAAAAGGCAGTAAAAATGTACGAGTTTATCAAAGGATGGGGTGTCCAGGTCTGGTTTCTGCCCACTGCGCACCGAGGCAGGACGTGCATGTCCATGGCAGCCGTGGGCACTCGGTGTCCGTTCACCTGGGGCAGGGTGCACAGGCCTGTGCGTGCCGTGGGACTGTGGTGTCACCCGCTCCACGGACTGGCTTGGTGCAGGAGAGAGAGGGCGACCACGTCCGCAAGGACACACTGTCGTACTCTTGAGCCTGAGAAACCGTGGAGGCCGTGCTGGCTCGGCTCTCAAATGTATGCCATTTCTGTGTGAGAGCACGGCTTGTCAGACCCTCCACACCTTGCTAACCAGCTACGGGCGAGACTCTTCTGGGTCTGCATGGGAATGACTCAGCTCTTCTGGGAGCTCGGTCATGGCTCGCAGCATTCTCAGAAGTGCTGTATCTGGCAGCAGTGTTGGGCCAAGGAGTCTAAAGCTCAAGGGCCCGAGGGTGAGGCTGCCCCTGCTGCCGGAGTCTCCTGTTGGCAGTCACTAGCCATAGAACACTTTCTGTATGGAGTTGTCCTTAGGGCTTTGAGAGCACTGAGGTGGAGTGTGGCCAGCTTCTGGAAGCCTTGGACCAAGCCTGTGAGTGGGGCCCAGTTCGAAGGATAGATGCGACAGGGTGACTGGTGTTGGGGCCCCTGTGTCTGCAGGGCAGCGTCACGCCGCAGCTGTGCTGTTCCCCCTCAGCTGTGGGGCGGATTCAGCCCTGTACACCTGCACAGCCCTCTGGCCAGCTGCTGGACCTGTGTGGGGCTTCCAGGCCCCCCTGCTGGTGTGAGTGTGGGACCCAGGAGGGGCTGTTGGGCAGGAGGCGTCCGACTGCACACCAGTGGGACCCATCTGTGGTGCACAGCAGCCATCAGAAGGTAGGAGACCGCGTGTGGAACTCACCTCACTCTTTGTTGGCAGTGGCAGAGGAGGAGGAGTCCCAGGGCCCGCCTGGTCCTTCTCCATCCAGGGACTCCTGCCCCGTGCCTCCTCCGTGGGGAGGAGCAGCATCGCTCACGTCCTGCTGTGATCACATGTGGAAGCAGTAGCTTCATCTTGAAGGGCACACAGGACTCCAGCCCAGGTCACATGGTTTCCTTCCCGGGTCTAACCCGTGCTCGAATCCCAGCATATGCCTGCCTCTCTTCCCACAGCTTCAGGTCATGGTGATCAGGGTGCTTGCAGCTAGCAGAGGTACGTCTGAGAACCCCTCTTGGTCCCTGAGCTGATGCAAATGGCTGTGCCTGGTCCTCGGTCCTCCTGGTGAGGAAAAGCTTGGGTTTCAGTGCGAATCAGCTTCCTCCTGGAAGCAGCTGGCATCGTGGGGGAGGAAGGATTAAGGGCAGAGAGAGAAGGAACCTGTGACAGCAGACAAGACCAACACCATTGTGCCGGCTGTCCTCAGGAAGCACCAGCAGCACCTGGCCTGGCTAAGTCCTGTGTCGAGCAGTGGGGTGATTGCTGCTGATGTCATCCAGCTTTGGGGACCGGGAGTCAGAGGTCACACTGAGATTGCCTGCTATTGAGGCTGTGGGCTTTCTGTCCTTCTGTTGATTTGGACTTCACTGGAGTTTCTTTTTTAAAGACCCCGACTTCATATCATGCATCTCAGTTACTGCCTGGGTTTAATGTAAAGGGGAAGGAGCTTCTGGGCCCAAGCACACCAGGCTTCTCGACTCCTTGGGGCTAGCTTCTTCCTCACCCCATCGGGGCATCCAGAGCCCAGGTGCTGGTCAGCGCCTCACGAGTGTTCCTGTGGGGCTCGGGCGTCTCAGGGAGGGTTTTCCCAGAGAAAAGCACAGCTCTGCACAGTGCTCACAGACCTCCGTGGGCCTTCCTGCGTCTCTTCCTGGATCGGAAGCTGGTGCGATTCTCACCTCTGCACATCTCTGCAGTAAACTGGCCAGACTAAGCTCACAGCTTCCTAGGCTGTCCGAGTCCCTGTGGGCATGCAGGCTGGGTGCATGACTCTTAACTCAGAGCTGCGAAGGTGGGTCCTCTGTTTCCCGTTTCCTACTGGTTGAGTGCGGGTCAGTAAGGAAGTCCTCCTGCCTTAGGACAGGTGCAGCGTGGCACCCTGCAGCGGCTGAGATGCTCCCCCTCAGCCCCTGCCCACTCCCCCCACCTTCCAGTTCCTCTGCACTGTCAGGCAGCACAACAGAGGACAGTAACCCTTACTGCCTCGGGTGGCCAGTTTGTCAGGGTATTTGCTACAATTCCCACGGAACCTGGAGAATTCTCCTTCCCACAGACCGTGTTTGTCAGTACCTGAAGCTCGTCCTTCCTCTTCCAGAGCCAGCTCTGTTGGTGCTGGGCAGCGAGGGCTTTGCAACTGCACTTTGCTTGCTCATCGACAGAGTGGCTGCCCTGGCGTCTCGGGCACTGGAGGGGACACGGGTCTTCTAGAACACGGAGTGTGTGATCACCGCAAGGACAGCAGCCCAGACACCACGCCTGCTCCCGGCTCAGCAGGGTTCGCTTCACAGCAGGAGGCACTGGAAGCCAGTACTTCCTTTGCTGTAGGAGGAGACACTGTCTCTGCCACCAAGGCTTTTCACTGTAACAACGTTTTTGAAAGATTAAGACGCAGGTGGACACTGGAGAGCAGTTGCCCAGCCTCCGCTTGCCCAGCCTTCTCCGGGCTGGTTGAACCAGGTGATTCCCATCTGGGAGGGTGCTATTTTTGGTGGAAGGTGGTGTTGAGGTTCCAGTGACCCCAGGCTGCGTCGCTCAGGGATGGCAGGCGAAGTCACCTGCCCCTGTAGGTGTGTCATGTCCTTGCGGTCCTTTCTCTGCGGGCGTGGGGAGGCGGGGCATCGCTGGCTGGAAAAGCTCTTGGAAACAGTCACAGAATGAGAGGCAAGAAAGAGCTGTCCCCCAGGCAAGTTCATTGTTCCACATTCTGTTTTGATTAGTGACTCTAGTTAGCATGGGTTTTTTCTTCCTGCTTTTAAAAATGAAAAGTTGAACCATTACAGAAAAGTTGAAAGAACTGTACACTGATATAGTCATTTAGCCCACCTTTGAAATTTTATCCTGTTGTCTTTGTTGTGTATCTGTCCATCTGTCTGTCCCGATCCCTTTAGCGGTCTTTTTTTTTCTGGTATGTTTCAAAGTAAGTTACAGACTTCAGTGCGCTTCGGGATACAAATCACTTTAAGGTGAAATCCACATACCACAAGACTGCATATGATTCGCTTCATTATGGAAATGTGTCTGCCTGTGTAGCTCCAGATCCTATCAAAGTACAAACGCTGGTCTCTCCCTGATGTGAGCCCGCGTCCTTTGGTGTGAGTCAACCAATTCCTTGTCTCCCAAAGGAAACTATATATCAATCTTGTGAAGCCCAGATCAGTTTTGTCTCTTTTAGAGCATCATGGAATTGTAGTCACACAGTATGTACTAATTCGTGTAATTTTTCTTCCATCCTGAAAGATGCTTTTGAGATTCACTACCTTGTTGTGCTGATCAGTAATAGATTCTTTTTTTTGTTCAGAAGCAGTATTGTCTGGTTATACTGCTAGAATTTGATAACTTATGTGTTAATGGATTATCTGTGGTATTTCTAGTGTTGACCCAGTAGACATGCTGTGAATTTACTGTACAAGTCTTATCGTCTGCCCCATTTTAGAAAGTTTGTTATGCACGATTTCAAAGAGCGAAAGTATGTTAAATTTAACTGCTGGGCCATGTAGAACTACCTTTATCTTTTTTTGTTGACTTTTCCAAGGTATTCAAAATATCTTCAAATGATTATTTGTTTGTTTTGTGTATTCCACAAGATTTCTGAGTCGCCATGAGTTGCACTGTTAGATGAGGAACCTGTAGAGTTGGAATGGGGGGAGACAGGCACACGCGCACAGGCAGTGTGGCGAGAACCGGAGGAAGGAGTCCTGCGGCACAGACCGAGTGCAGCCTGGGAAGTAGCGACAGGGCGCGCGGGAGCTCCGGGCACAGGTGGCGCGACGCGGGGGCGCTGAGAGTTGGTCCCGCGCGGCCATCACCCTGCGTGGAAGCAAACAGACCCGGGGCGGCTCGCGCATTCGTCCAAGGGGCTGCAGGGCTCGGCGTCGCCATCCGCGCGTCCAGCTGAGTGTCCTACCCTGTGACATTTCACAGCACCCCGTAAGCACTGAGTACCACCGTGGGCTGGAGCCCGAGTTATCTGGGATTACGACGCGAAGAGTGGCTCCCACGGCTAGGGAGTCCGCGTCCGTCGGTGGCGCTGCCTCGCTAGCTCATGACGCAGGCACGCGCAGGACACACGCACGCACCGCCGCCGCAGCGCCCGGAGCGGACCTGCCGCGGTCCAACCCGACCACCTGGCGCGGGGCTTCGCGCGCCCGGCAGGTGGATGTGACCTGAGGCTGGCGCTGCTTCCTTCCCTCGGGAGCGCGCTGAATGAGACCTGGAAGTCGCGTTTCCTTTCTCCTGTCTGGCGCCCGAGCGTACGCTGCCCTCGCGGCCTCTTGCTGCCCTCGCAGACCTTTTGGGATGCCCTTCCCTTCCCGGCGGCGCCTGCCGCAGCCTCGTCCGGCCGGCCCGCAGCGCGCTGCGATGCTGGCGCCTGCGGTGGGTGGCTGTGGTGGCTGTTCGGACGCTCGCGGCTCCAGGTGCGTGCTGGCGGAGCCTTCGGGGCGGTGCTGAGCGATCCGGCTGGGGCAGCAAGGCCCGGCTGGGGCAGCAAGGCCCTGCCAGATCACCACCGCGGTCGCCTCCTGTGCCTGCGCTTTAGACACGTGTTTCCGCTAGAGCAGGTCGGCTCCTACTGTTTGCTTTAACAGTAATCCTAGTTCCCTTTTGTATTCCTTTAGAAATTTTTTTTCTCACTAATAGTGTTGGGATGCATCCCACCTCCTATGTCATTTTTCCCATTAAAGAAAAAAAATTATTGAAGGGGTTATATTTTAAATGTGTTCTATAACACCAGAAATAGTACCTTTTAATTAAAACTTTGATGCCTGATTTGAGATGACTTGTAATATACCCAGCAGGCATGGACCCAAAGACTTTCCTGACACCTGTCAGCGAACGCTGGTGGCTTCCTCTCGAATTGGTGTTCTCTCCCTTCTTCCCGATGTCCTTCCTCCTATCTTTCAGCCTGTGTTACCTTGCGATTATTGGCTTTTGTCAGTTTTGTTTTGCTCACGATCAGCACGGGAGGTCATTGGTCTCAGCACCAAGGTCGGGTGCGGTGGTTTCTTTCAAGCCTTGCAGCGACACCTTTTCCTATCTGTGGCGATCATGAGTTTGCTTCTGTTCTGGATTTGTCTGTCTTATCTCTGGGATGTCAAAGTGCCCTTCAGGGTAGACATGTTATTTGTTTTGTATCTGCCACCTTACTTTAGTAAATGTAAAATCTTAATGACAAGTAGAAGGTTGCATAGATTACAATGAACTTTCCGGGCCTTTGTGACCCTAAAGTATTATTGGAATTCCAGTGTGTTGATTTTGTGTTTGATTTTTTTCTTTAGGAAAAAGAAGAACACTTTGAATCTGTTCAGCTGAAGTCCTCACGACCCCCCAGTATATGAGGAGGCCGTGCTGTGGGCCTCGGGGGAGGGGAGATCTGCTCGGCAGCCCTGCAGGACCATGGTCATGGTGGGGACCTGTTCTCTGATGGCCGGGCATCCCCGAGGGCCGCGCTGCTGAGAGGGAAGGAGGGAAGGGAGAGGTGGCCGACTGCCTCACCGCACACTCCAGGACCTTGCCAGGCCAAGCAGTGCGCACGAACTGGGTCTCGACTGCAGAGAAGCTTAGCTCAGGAAGAGATGACTGCATGGCGGGACTGGCACACCCGCTGTGCCTGGCGCTGGGGTGTGGCACGGGCACCGGGCGACCGTCCTCTCCGTCTACACAGCAGATGGACTCTGCAGCATGGAGGCGAGCCCGTGCCTGTGATCGCCTTTATGTCTTGTCTTTGTTTATATTTTGGAAAAGACTGGAAAAACTTTCTAAGGTATAATTATTTTTCCCATTATTTATTTTCCCAACAGACCTTAAATCATCTTTTCTATTAAAAATGGTGAGCAGTGAAAGACAATAAACTTTTCATTTTTATAGGGCGTTTTCTCTTGATTTCAGACACTTCAATTATCAGTAATATTTTAGGGGAAATTAGCATGTGCTTGGGTTACTTATAGTTGCCTTTGAAATTCCATCCTTGTTGGAACTGGTAAGAAGAGTTTGACCAAAAGCTTGAAGGAATCTTAAAAAAACAATTTTAAAGCCAGCGAGAGTCCTTGACCTGCATTAACACCCAGAAGGTGGCGGGCTTCACACAGTGTGTATCTGGAGCTGAAGTAGGAGAGCCTGCTCGTCTGGCCGCTTACACAGTCGCAAAGAGCAGTGTGCGCGCCTGTCTGCAAGCTCGGACACTACGGGGTGTTGGGGTGCGGACAGATGTGGGACACTTCCCCACGTGAAGCATGAGAGGTCCTGGTTATTTTTCCGCTGCGAGACTTTGAGGATTGTGATGGTCTGGGGAGCATCTTTTTACCCCATAAGTCAGATAGTTTTGGAAAATACATAATTGTGTTCATGATGAGAATGCAGATGTACCATAAGCACCTGTGAATTAAGTGTCATTTTTATTCAAAAGTGACTCAGAAAATTGTGATATTTCTTATAATGGGTTACTAGTGTTTGTATGACGTATTTGTTGGAAAGAAGTTATATTATTTGTTGAAAGAAGTTTGAAGACGGATTTGACCAATTTTGTGGAAACTGTTTAGACCTGGGGAAAGGGGATTTTCCTGGCATTGCTGACCTAAGGTGCCTCAGTTGTTTCCAATAAACAGTGATCTTTGTGGGTCTTCATCCAGATTTTACAGTGGCTACGTCTGGCTGCAGTGACAGGGCACAGAGGTGGCTCCTCTCAGCTGTGCCGCAGGCGTTCCCAGGAAGTGTGACTTGTAATGTGGGAGTCTTCGGGTGGTGTCTTCCCTGCTGTGAAAACTGGGAGGAAAATGGAGCTCTGTCCCTGGGCTGGTGGCTGAGACATTAGACCATTTTGCTGCTGGGGAGTGGACGATCGCTTGTGTAGCCCTCACTGTTGCATATGGGCATAGGTGAAGTTGCCATCTTTTATTCCTAGTCACGGGACTGCAGGAGGGTGTCACTGAGCAACAAAACTTCTTGAACCATTTATAAAGCAGGAGTTACTTTGGCACTGTTCATTTTTGTCCTGTGACCAGAGTGTCGGCGTATCTTTCCCCACAGTGATAGAAATTTAACCAGAAGAGTGGAATGTGCTCGAAGCATGCCCATTCTGAGGCGCGAAGCTGTACAGGCTGGACAGAGTCAGAGGTTCCTGGTGTCACCTGTCACCTCGCCTCCGTCATCTGCTGTGTGCACATGTGTGTTCCAAGCCATTGAGATAATTGGAATTTGCTCCCGGTTGCTGCTTTCTTGTCTGGTCACTGGACTAAAATCTCTAACATGTCAAACATGCCTTAAATTTTAATGAACTCTCTGAAAATGTAGTTGATATTGAAGGATTTATTTATCTTATTTCTAATTTTAGATATTAAGTAGATGTTATCAGCTCAGTACCATCTCAGGAAGGAGCTGCCTTGTTCTTTTGGATTTCAGTGGGTTGTCATTTTATTCTAAGAGCTGAAGAATGAGAACGGAAAGAATATTATGAGGAAAATTTCCAGAACTGTTCTGGCTGTGGAATTCACTTTAGCTTTGTGTCTGGCTTTTGCAAAGCTCAGCAAAATGTTGAAAGGCATCAACAAATCTAAGTGACATTTGTTCTTCCCCCCTCCCACGGTAGAAAGTGTTATTTGTTATTTTTCTAAAAGGCACATTTTCGAAGCCTTAAACACTTCATTAAATTGACTGTCACCTATAACATCCCTTAGCACTCTGTCAAAACCTATTTAAATCAGTTTTCCACTGGATGAGAGCATATCTTGTATGGATAAATTCTATCATGTCATTAACAGTATTGAGCAATTTGATATGTGTTTGCTTGATTTAAAAGACTGAATTTTATTATTATTGACTTCCCCATTCTTTGGTTACTGATAATCACAGCCTTCCCCAATTAAAATGTTTCCTAGTGTTTTTGTTTAGACTTTTGTCATTATTTTCTTCCCAAAGATAAAGGTGGCTTAAGCTGGTTGTGTGGAAGAGCTGCTTGGCTTGCGTCACCACCTGCAGTCAAGGCAGGTCGTGGTCAACAGTGCTTCCAAGACCCATCTGGCCAGCTGTCCCTTGGTGTCTCTCAGTGGAGCTGTTCGCAGGGGCTCAGGCTCATTCCCAGAGGGAGGAATCGTCTCTTCCCGCCTCCTTGCAAGAGGAAAGTGTCCTGGGAGTTGGGGTGACAGGATGGCTCCACTGCTACCTGAGAGCCTGTGTACCACTGGCATTTATCTTTGCACGTGAATGACAGGCGGGAGAGGTCCCCGGAGGACCTAAGTTCCCCACCTCCATTTTACAGCAATTGCAAATACAAAACCCAGTCCAAATTAAGGCTTCCCCATGAAGAGGTTCTTCTAAGAGAAGAAAACTTCCCCCCCAAAATCCAGTCACCTGCCTCCTTCCTTGGAAACCAAAGTGAAGTTTACCTTCACAGAGACTGGGAGAGGCAGTCTGGCACACTGTTGTGTGAAGGTCAGGTGGTAAAGGGGCATCTCTGTAGTCTCTGCTGTATCTACTCAGCTCTGCCACTGGCACGAGAGCAGCCGGGCACAAGGAGCAAACGGGGGACTTCATCCCAATGGAACTTCACCTATGTTCACTGAAATTGCAGCATCATTTAAGTTCCAGACTTTCAAACATTCTTCTTGTGATGCTTTTCCAGTGTAAACATACAGATGCCTTCTTAGCTCAGCAGCTTTAAACGGGTGTTAGGCTAGGGTTTGCCTGTGGGCCTGGGTTGCTGGCCCTGGTGTGGATGATCACACCATAGCAGAACTGGTCAGAAGAGTCTGCTTGCACGGACGCTCTTCCCTTCCAGCTCACCACCTGGGCCGTGAGATGAACACCTGAGATGTGCAAGGAAACAGTGACCTTCACCTGCCCTTGGCATTGCAGTCACCTACCAGAGACAAGTCAGACACTCTCTTGAGTCCTTGCTCACACTGGGATCCCATTGTGGATATTAATTGGCAGAGGATAAAACTAAAACAAGTAAATTGGTACTCAGTAAATTAGCAAAATAGATTTGAATGCCTTCTCTTATGGAGATAAGATAACTGGCATTAGAGGTAATGTTCTCTCTTGTATGTAGATCCATTTCAAACAACCAGTGGAAATAATGGATAATGCATAAAAGTAGCTCCAGCATAGATTCTCGGGACCTGGCCCTGGAGGCCCCTGGTGTATTTTCATTTGATAAGACAGGGTGCACCTTGGTCCTTCCACAATAACCAAGTCCTACTTTAACACTTAGAGAACTGCAAAAGACATTCAGGATTTGTTTACTCATTGGTGATTCAAGAAACAGATCTTCACTGTCCTTGAACTGAATGTCCCATTAAGGCTTTTTATTTGATGGAATTTTCTTCATCTTATTAATAACTCCTAGAAGGAGGGCTCTAAAATAGTTTGTAAATTTTGGTAGATTTGGATTGGAAGGGGACATTATTTCCTTTATCTGAGATAACTAGTTTCATATACCATTGATTACATTTCAGATAAAAGAGTTAAACCAGTGAGAACTTTATGCAGACCTGGGTCTGTCACAGAGCAGGATGGATGGTTGCCTTGTCTGTGGGCTGGACTTTGCCTTTGGGTCTCTGGTGATAACCCATCTGGCAGCTCGCTCTTGTTGGCTTTTGTATGCTTACAGCCCTTTCTGAGAACCTCTGTTGCCCAAAACTGTTGTGGTGAACAGATGAATAAAGCAGGGACTCACCAGGAGCAATGTGGACATGAAGACTAAAGCCAAATTATCCTCTCTTAGCTGTCCTTTGACTCTGTCCTCTGTGTATTCCTCAAGCCAACTTTCCTACAGTTTAAAAATAGCAACTGCTTACTTTATCATACAAACTTGGGTGAGCAGGAAAAATATATTAATATTTAAGCCAGTGAGGACAGACAACACCCTAAGATCTGTAAACACTCCAAAATTCAAGGATAATTGAACACATAGTTAGATTCTGATGTGTGTGTGTGTGTTTTGATGAATGGGATGTATCATTCATCTTGGGTTCCTTAAATTCAGGAAGTTTTGCAAAGGTGGATCAGCTCAACCACTCATATTCTGGAAGAATGAAATGTTACTGACTTTTTATTTTTTAATTTTTTTTGCTCAAGAATACTATTGTTCAAATACCACACAGGCTGTTTTACAGCAGATACTCATTTGCCAAGCTTCAGATGGCAAAATGCTAAGTTGTGAATTTGGTATTGTCCAGTGAGTTGTTTCTCCCTGCTCTGGAGACTCTGGTGGCATGTGCTGCACTGACTTTTTATTTTAACAAGCAAAAACTTGTTTGTTTTTAATGGCTATGTACAAGAAGATTTTATAGTGGCTATTTTCCATACCTAAGTTTAAATACCATATTGTTTTTCCTGTGTGAGAATCCCAAAGGGTAAATAAAGAGCAACATGGAGGGTAGATATTGGGAAGTCAGAAGAACTTGTTCAAATGGGAGGAGGAATGGGGTGGGGGTGGGGCGGAGGGAAGTGAAAGTTTTAAAAAAAGAAAATGGAAGAAAAAATATGCTGAAGGTTTTTAAAAGTTATTTTTGGGATCGCAAGTTAGATGATGTATTTCCCTATCAGTGTGTCAAGGGAGGGGAACATGACCGGAGCTGCAGGCGATGCCCTGGCAGTGTCCTGGGAGTGAGAGGCCTCAGACCCTGAGGCCTCCCCCCTCTTGTGAGTCCCATCATCTTGTTCTGTGACCACGTTGGCTGTGCGAGCCGTCAGCTCATTCTGAGCACTTACCTGGCTTGCCTGCCAGGTTCCGCACAGCAGAAATAATTTTTGTCCTTTAGTGATTTTGAATCTCTTACCCAGTCCACCCCACTCGCTCCCAAATTCCAGGTTCTGTTCGCAAGGGAGAATTCAGGAACTGGTGAACACTGAGCTTTGAGCACCTGTGGAGCTTTCTGTTGGCTGTTGAGGTTGCTGATTCAACTGCATCCACAGAGATGAGCAGAATTTCTAACAGCTGACACCTTCATTTCCTTCAAGCCCAGTCCTGTGGGCTTTTGTGGACCTGTTCATTGTTTTTTGGATGTTTTAAAAATGTTGTCAGTATTTCTTGCTTGTTTCAAGCTCTGTTTAGTCTGTGCATCCCTCAGATCCCTGATTTTGTTTTTCCCTCTACCTTGGTCACAGTCCCCTCATTAAAATGTTTTCTGACCTTTTCCTTCTTAAATACAAGGATTATATCCAGTCCACCTTTCTGTTCTTTGTGGACTAAATAGTGACTTCAGAGCAATATGTCTACATCCCATCCCTGGGATCTGAGAATATTGCTTTATTCAGGAGAAAGGACTTTGCATAGATTAAGGATGTCCAGGTGAGCGCACCCGGGATTATCTCGGTGGGCACTGAATCCCACTGATGAGTGTCCTTCCGAGAGACACGGGGAACGTGGCTAAGATGGGACAGACTGCAGTGGTGTGGCCTCAGCCAAGGACGCCTCCAGCCCCAGGCCCTGGGAAGGGGCGGAGTGCACTCCTCGGGGCTTATGAGGGAGCATGGCCCTGCACATGCCTTCTGTTCAGGTTTCTGGCCTCCATAGCTGAGAGAGAGTACGTTTTTGTTGTTTTAAACCACACAGTCTATGGCAATTTCTTCCATCAGCAACAGGAAACTAACACACTCTGTCCATGGTACTGGTGCAGGATCTGGGAGACAGATGTGTTCTCAGTCAATTTTCCTAATCAATAAATGATTTGCTACTAAAAGGTTGACAGAATTAGGGCAGTCTTGGTAAAAATCAAGTTTTAGCTTGCCCATCCTGTCCCTGTTGATTCTTTTATTTAGATGAGCAAAATGTTTCAGTTTGGCGGCAAGTTTGTGTGCCTGGGTGTTGTCCCTCAGCTCGGACGGGAGCGGTCCCCGTGGGGTGACAAGGAGCGTCTCCAAACCTTTCCTAGCAGACCACAGTGTGGGCTTCACTCTCTTTACCTTAGCGCCACTTCAGCAGCTCTGGGGGATCAAACAGATGTGGCCTCAAACTCCACGCTGTGTGTTGTCACGTGACACCTGTGCTGGCGTCACCAGTTACGTTCCGGTCACTGACTTGTGATGAGGTCCAGATCCACCTGCAGCTCCCCGGCAAGGGAACGGCTTGACTTCCAAGCCGTGTGGATGGGAAGAGGGGCACAGTTGGGCAGTTCCTCCCCAAATCAAAAGTGGAGATGATTTGAAGTCCATGTGTCCAAGTTACCTCGAGAGACTCAAAAAAGACAAACCATTTTCCACCATGCTGGAAAACCTCAAAGGTTTTATTCCCAATGTCTTTACATTAATACAGATGCTTTTTATTTTGTGCTCAGAAAAACAACCTGTTACACATAATGTAACTTTAATATACAACATAGAAACATCCTAAATCAGTTACAACAAGGACTACAAAAACTCGATAGGAAAAAAGTTACCTAATATTGCCAGACCCTGTCAGCAGCGTTCAGCTCTGTAAACAATGGTTATTTCCGTGTTCTGGGGAACAGTTAGTAACAGGGGCGCTACAATCAGCCTAGAAAACCCTAGCACATCACTACATACTGTACAGTCCTCAAGAATAATTTATGTACTGCTTCTGAAAACTGGTCCTAGGGTCCTTTCTTCCTGCCTCCGTCGTCCGGAGCGGCTCGTGAGCACGTGACTAACAGCCCGGACACGAGGGCGGGGCCGGAGTTGCGCTCACAGCGAGGAGGTGGTGGAGTCCAGCACCTCGCGCCCGTTGCACACCGTGGGAACGTACGTGCTCGCGGAAGCTGCAAGACAGAGGGCGGGGCTTGGTTAGGCGGCTGCACAGGCAGGGCCCGGCACAGGGGACAAGTAAGGTGAAACCCACTTTCACTCGGCTTTGAAAAATGACTGTTCGGTGCCAGCTTTCTAAGTATTTTCTGCTCAGCAGCAGGTTGCATGTTAGACGGCACGTCCGAGTCTCCCTGTCGTCAGGCAGAGGGAACTTACAGCACGATCACTGTTGGAGGAATCTCGGGGGTTGAACTAGCTTTGATGACCCATAAACTGGTCAACATGCAATGTGCGAAACTGAAGGTCCACGACAATTTTTTAAATGATTTGTTCAATGATTTACTAGTTTCAGTGCCTGTGAGTGGAGTCCCGCCAAGTCTGCTCCTTGGGACTGGCTGGAGACAACATCAGTGCCACGCACAACACTGGAGGGCGGGTGGATGGGAGCACAGGTGTGAAGGCTACATGCTCAGGGCTTGGCTTCACCCAAGCCCTCAGAAGGGAGGACGCACCCAGGGCGGAAGTCCTTGTTTGCGATGACAATGAGAGGGGTGTCATGGGTGTTATAATGTGGCCGTGTGTGTTCACTATTTTATGAGACTCAGTTTTACCAGATACAAGTTTTAGCTATCGACCTGTTGGTAAAGTTACATTTTTATGAGGAATCCAGCTGCACATAAGTTTTATTGACTTCGCCTTTAATATTTTTTCTTTTCACTGAATGAAGACAAAAGCTTGGTCCCTCACTCACCGTGGGATGGAGGGAGCAATCAGGAGAATAGCCTGGAGAGGGATGGCTTTCCATCTCGGCACAGCTGTCCCTGGCCTGTCCATCAGGACGTGCTCTGTCCAGCAGAAGCTGGTCCTCAGAGCCACCAGACCACAACCAGTTCACGCCAATCAGACCTGGTGTAGTCCTTTGAGTACTCAAAACTAATTCCATGCCAAAGTGTGCATGTCTGGTAGTGGATGTAGTCTTGCCCCTCAAAATTGCATAGGAATGTTTTAAACACAAAGTAGTAACTAACTGTGAAATCTGATGCTGTGGGATTCAGTGGGGAGCACATACCACCTTCAAGGGAGCCGAAGTCTTTCCGTAGGTCACCACTAGGGAAACTAAAGCCCTTCAATTTCACATCCTCTTTGGATGAGTGTGTGAGAAAATCTCTGCCGTCCAGTCCAGGTGGCTGCCTGCTGAGCCTGGATGAGCATACACTGACTCTCTAGGAGTCTCCCTTTTTATCACTGCAGGACCAGGTTCAGTTTTCTTTACTCCGAGTCTGTTAACAGCTACACTCTCTTTGAGGGGAGGGGAAACATAAACTATGTGTTCTGAAACTTCTACAATGAAGACATTTTAAACACAGTTTATGCCAGACAAGTACTCAATGGAAAGTGGCTATAAAAGTAACCCCACAGGTCAGGATTTTATTTCATTCTTTGCAAAGTCTATGCTTGCTTGAATTCCAGTATCATCACCAAAGCCAGGTAAGGTAAGAGAAAGAACAAGGCAAAGTGAAGTTCAAAACTCAGGTTCCTGGCAGCTGAGGACAGAAGGCTGGGCCATTGGAGGTGCCCTGTCTGCAGTCCCTATGTGCACACCTGCCGGCCTGCACGCAAGAGTTCAGCAGACACTCAGTCTCTGTACAGAGGGGACCTCTTGATTCTGCAACTGCACCCAGTCGGCCTTTCTTTCCTTGGTGAATGCTTTCACCGCCTCGCCTAAACCCAAAGACTACAGCTTATGCTTCATCTTTTTGTCCTTCCCCGATGTCGAATCTATCATGAGGTCCAGTCAACTCTGTCTTTACATCTAGGTACTTTTATCTGTGCATTGCGACCCTGGGCCGAGCCGGTGGTATCTTTGTTCTGAGTACTGCAAGGACTGTTCTACCAGCACTTCCTTTCTACTCTGGCCTCCTGGATGTTTATTTTCTGCATGGCTGTGAGACCACAGTCATTCATGGCTTCAACCAGCCATGAGCTGAAAGCATTCAGAAAAACACATTTGTACAGAACGTGTAGAGGTTTTTCCTTTTTGCTCCCTAAGCAATGCAGTGTAACAACTATTCACTCAGTGTTTGCATTGTGTTACGCATTGTTAACTCATGGAGAGATGATTTAAAGTGCACTGGAGGATGTGCCTAAAGCATGTGCAAAATTACACTACTGTGCTACAGTATATCAGGCACTCCTGCCCCAGGGATGTAGATTCTGGGGCAGGGGCAGCCCTGAGACACCCATGGACACCGAGGGGTGGCTGCATTTTGAACACGGTCACCAGCTGCGACCCCCAGCGGCTTCCTCCTGTGCACTGCTCCCATCTGACCTTGAGTTCCAGTGCCTGTGGCTGAGGCCGAGCTCTCTGCATTCACCTCGGCCTGTGAGCTTTCTCGCCCCTCTGCTGCTGTTCTTCAACACAGCATGCAGTCTCTCGCCGCATCTTTCCAGTGGTTACCTCTGCAGAAATGTCCTCTCCTTCTGGCACACTTGGCCCCTCCTGCATGCACTTCTGAAATTCCTCTTCCCCAGAAAGGTGTCATTGGGTTGGGGCCCAAACCAGCCTCTCATTTACTCTCTCTGGTCTGAAGCCCAGCATGGCCCAAGTGCTGCCACCTGATGTTTTGCTTGTTTTTGTTCACCTGTATACTCCTGACCAGCAAGCGAGTAGGGGCTTTGCTGTCTATTTCCTTACACATCTCTAGTGCTGGCGTGGACCAGACCCTGTTGAAAGATTTCCCAAATGATCATCTAAATATTTGCATTTTGAGGAACCAGGGACACTTTGCATGGTGTAAGAAGGAACCTGCCAGCATATGGAAGGCCTGGGCGAAGCTTGCTTGGGGACAGTGAGCCTTCCAGTTTGCGAGCCACAGGAGGTGTTGACTGTCCGCTCCTCACAGAGAGACCGGGCCAGGTTGAGAGCACAGGGCAGGCTACTGCCTTGGAGTCCACCAATTCCTGTGTCTCCGCCAGGAGCAGGTTTCATTAGTACTTCAGGGCAGGGCTTCCATTTCCAGAGACTGAAGAACAATGCTGTCACGAGCTGTGTATGGCTGGACCTGCCCAGCCCCTTCACCGTGCACTCCCTGAGGCTGCAGCAGAGACCTGCAGGGAGCCCCAGTCTCTGAAGCGTGTGCCTCCTAATTTAAAAACTGGGTGTATTTTGACAAGGTGGGAACGACAGGCTGCCAAGGCCAGCTTCATGGCTTTGACTGTCTTTCTAATACGTACCCCACAGACATCACTCTGGAGGTGGTTAGAGGAGCTCTAGGACCTCACCTGCTCCACAGCGACACTAAAGGGAAGCCCAATGCCAGGTCTGAACTCTGGGTGAGGAACTGATGCAAATTCAAGGTTTTCTTGGAAGGAGTAATGACAGCAGAAAGCACACACGAGACCTTGCAGGTTTTTTAGCGTGTTGAAAGGAACTCTGATTTGTGTGTTTCTGCTTCTGTTTTATCCTTTCATCTGTAGCTTTTGCTGGTGCATTTTATTATACAAAAATATTCTCATTTATGCACATGCTGCTGAATATAGTAGAGGAAATTACTGTTTTATGGGCTTGCTATCCCAATCGCTTTGCCTTTCATAAATATTTTATATGTGCCTCCCATATTAGCCCATCTGTTATTCCCCAAGGTAGTAAAGTACACAGAATAGGGGACTGTCATTTCTCTCTCTCTCTCTCTCTCTCTCTCTCTCTCTCTGTGTGTGTGTGTGTGTGTGATGAGTTTTTGCTATTATTCTGATGAAATTCTCACGAGATCTTTAATGGTGCAAGCACAGCCCATCTTCTTCAGTGTGGTTAAGCAGACGACTTGGAGGTGTGCAGGCTTGCTTTGGCCTTTGCCGTTCAAAGTGAAAAAAGGCAGCTGCAAAAGACACCTCATTTCACTGCTGCTCACAAAGGGGGGTTCGCACCCATACATGGGCACATTTTCCTTCAGTGCAGTCAAGTGGCAGCTTTGTCTGGCTGTGTGAAATCTGCCTCTTTTACTGGTACTACCAGGCGGCCAGGCTGTGTAGAAAATGACCACTTTCCCGGGCTGCTGGGCCCTTGGCCAGTGTGAACTTTATTTCGCAGAGTACTTTGGGTGCCACCTGTGTCGGTCAGTTTAGTGACTGCCCGGTTCTTAGGGACCAGTGTCTTATGATACTTCTATCGCAACCACACTCGAGAGGACTAAAACAAGCACCTAACGGAAGAGAGTTCCAGTGTACGCTCATCCGTTCCATTTCCCCACTCCTGCTGACCTTCAGGAGGTCTGGGGTCGAGGTACTGGAGTGGTGGCCATGAAGTTCCTGTCCACTGGCCTTTCGGCCTTGCCCTCCTGCTTGGGCTCTGGATCTGCTGCTTGCACACCACGTGGACGTGGCTGTCCCATCCTACAAGTCCGTCTGCTGACTCACACGTGTCTTCTGCTGATGGCAACACTGCGGCCCCGACTTGGTCATCTTGCTGGCAGAGCATCCTTTATGAAGAGGTACAGATGCCTTTTGTGTGATCCAAGCAACAGTCTTGAACTATAGACCTTGAGCAGTAGATTAATAGGGGATTTTGTTACTTATGCGGGGGAATAAGAAATTACAGGCCCAAGACTTCATTTCCAAATGTGGAGTGGAGCTGTATGCAAGCAGATGTAGGAAATCACTTCTTTATTCAGTGATGCTTCCCCATGAGGCAAGGGCCACGGAGGAAGACATGGAGTGTTTCACGACCGCAGTGTCAGTTAGTGCATCAGCAGAAATTGCACTGGTCTCCAACTTTGCAGGAGGAGGTGAGGGGCAACATGGCTGAGCAGTGGGGCAAGGCCCACTGTAGAGGGGACTTGCTGACTGCCCTCCCAGAATGGCAGCACCGAGCCCGACACTGGACTGACTGGAGCTGCAGCCGAGAATGGCCAAATCCTCCAGCACAAGGGTAAGTGGAGCCACCGGCGCAGCTGTCCGTGACGACACAAAAGGAAGCAGCGGTTGGCTCTGGGGCCACTGCCACCCTGACCTTGCGGTG